TCCGTGCCATCATAAGATATTCACTGTGCCACAATAAAACTACAGCATTTTTAACCAATTGTCAAAAACAACCGTCGTAACCATGGGTATTTAAAGGTATTTACAGGTACATGTTACGTTTTCTTCATTACACTTACACTGGGTAAAGGCCATCCGCAGTGGCTTGAGATTAGAAGTATAATATTTTTATAATTTGCAAAACTCGAGGTTATCCCTCATTTGAAACCAATGCGTAACATGGATCAAAGGATAGGTGTAATTGCATACCAGAAAGCAGCCCTCAAACAGAATTAAATTAAATAGCTGAAACGTCGTACACTTTAATAACAGAAAAGTGCGCCCTCGGTTGTCAGTTATATTGATCCTGTGTGGACGTGAAAGCCGAACGGCCGGACACTATCGACCGGTTACCGGCTTCTGTTCTTTATGAGACATCCTAGTTTTTTTTCTTTTCTTTTTTTAGTTTTTGCTGTACACCTCTTGCATGGGAGTTGCCCGCGGTTTTGAATTTCTGATCCGTTTTCAGTTTTTCAGCACCCCCTTCCCATCAGGTCTCCCTAATTCGCAACCCCCCCCCGTCGCTCATTCTCAATCCGACCACCTGTGTTCCCGCTCTCAGAAATCGTCCCAACCCATACAGAGTTTCTTAAAATTCAGTCAATTCCAATTATGATCCTGCTCGTTTGATTTTCCCTGTGATGTATATATCACATTATGTAATCGATGTATTTGCTGGGAAGGTATGTGGATGTCAGTAGCCTATCGGTTGGTATATTGTTTTGTGCTAGCGACCTGTGTTTCTCATTGCAAAATTTCTGTCATTTTTATCTTTCTATAAGAATGGATCAAGTCAAGCGCACATTCTACCACTGCTGTTGCTCACGGTCTTGCATCCACTTGTTTTAACTTCAAAAATCGATGCTAACCCCATACATCGACAGCTGAAATTTGCCCATGGTCTCCATGGCATTGGGCACGTACGTGAACTCCCCAATCACCCGTTTTCTCAAGATTGGTCATTTGTCATGCCAGCGCATCTTTTTTCCCCCGACCTTCCCAAAAGGCCCCATCCTGCAAGCCCGAATGTTGTGAGGAGAACGATAAGGACGACAGTAAAATCGATTTCTTCTTTTTTTTCCCTTGAATTTCACACTCTTTGACTAGTGGAAACGTCCCGAATTTCATAGCCTCGAACCAAATGGAGGTATAGCCCCAAGCTACGTGCCCCGACGATTAAAGTATTGTTATCAGTGTATGCATCACCTTCTGTGTTTATCCAAACTGTGGTTTTATACAACATACTATACTGTTATGAGTCTAGTCTGGTTACCCTCATTAATACACTTTGGAAAGCGATTGTGGACACAGTAAACGAACAGCTGCTTGAAAACAAGTTCGAATTAAAGCTCAGACTCTTTAGAATCGTCACCTTAAAAACAAATTGGACAAACTTTAACCACAGCTAGACAGATGTATTGAAGATAATTCCGAGACTGTATTCTTCCCTTGCAATTATTGTTCCAAATGTTTCTTATCTGAACAAATACGAACCCTCTGGGAGCAGATCGAAAAGACCCCCCTTCTCTCAGCGGCTGCTTACACATTAGCCGACTAATTAGGACCCCCACGTGGCATTTTAGAAAGGGTTAACATCCTTCGTCGTTGCACAGCCCAGATCGACGGTTAACGGGGCGGAAGTTGTATTGGGTACGCTCGGCCAGATCCGTTGATTGCCTGTCACATCTCCGAAGTCTCAGATTCTCCAGCCACCGTAAAATGATCGCAGTGAACCAATTTGGACAAGAAGGAAGATTTTGCTCTTTTTGCAGATAATGTTCCCTTGTACTGTGCGCGGCGATGCCATCCAGTCTTTATGTGTTCTTCCCTGTCTGGTGTATAAGTCGTACAGTGATCACAAGTCCTCATTGGAATTTATGTGCGTTCTGGTTTTTGATGGCTCTATGTCACAGTTCTCATCAGTATAATAAGTGTAAAAGTGCAATTTCCAGTTGCCCTCGTTGCGTCCATTTTGCACTTGATCTCTTGGGTGTGGATTGGTTCGGTTTGTTTGCTCACATCGGTTTGTTTTATTATTGGTGTTTGTGTTCATTTAAATTGATTGAAGAATTAACCCTTGTATTGACTGTGTTAAATCTGTACATCATGTACTCAGACATTTGTGTTTTGTGGTGCAGACTTAAGAAGATTCCAACTCTTATGGGCCAGTTTTAACCTAGGCTACCTTTAAATTCTGTCTCGTTCGACAGCCCGCGAACAAGCTGTGTTTACCGAGAGGATAAGGGTAATGATTGAAGAAGAAAGTACTTTTGGAGACATGCTAGTGCAAGGAGCAGAAACCTAATAACTCCTATTCCTTGCTTTCCCCAAAACAAATCACCCCAACCGTCGTGAATATTCGGCAAGAATTGCGCTTCCTGCGAGGGCTGATGTCACGTCCCCGCTCGGTGGCTGCACTGTTCGGCGCCACTGAACCGTCACGTGAGGCCCGTTGATAAGGCCAACACCCCGTCTTCGGATAACACTTCAGAGTGCAGGTATCGCCTCGTCTCGAGAATCCTCCCCTCTCGTATGCGTCTCCTTGCAGGTTCCTCCTCCCCCCCCCACCTCCCCACTCTGCAACTGAAGGAGGAACGCCTGAAGATATACTCACCGGCGAGATGAGATAGCCCGCCTACGATCTCCTGCTAACTGTGTGGGAATTCAGAATAGCATTTTGCGCCAATCGAAAAAAACGTCCATGCGGTTCAGCTCCTTGAACCCGAAAAATCTTACAAGTAAATAGGGAGTGTGACAGTCTTTTTCTGGCAGTACTTGAAGTTAATTCCAAAATACTGTGGATGTATTTCGGACTTCGTGCACTGTCTCTGTTGCCCGAAGTCTGCTCATAAATGGCGTGTATAAACGAACACCGCTTGATTTTGTTCATGTAAGAGACAGCGTTGTTCTCTGGTTTGTGTGGGGAAAGTAGAACTCGCATCTTGGTCTTTTAACAGACAACTTCAGGAATTCATAATTGGTGTGCTGGAAATAGAGGTTGAATGATGGGCTAGATTTACAATGAATCTATCTTTATTAACCCTCAAAGAGCCGGGTTTTTTTGGCCTTGTCACAGCCGGGGGGCGGGGCGGAATCTGGCCCCCCAGATCTCGGTCATACGATGATGTATTTCAATGAAATTTGGCACTATAATAGATGCATACATACTAATCACATGTGTGAAATTATATGTAAATTAATTAAGTTTTTGCAGTAATTATTCATGATACCAAGGCTTTCGATTGTCGGGCGATTTTATTGCATTTTTCACATCAAAGATGCTGTATGGATTGTATATCCATTGGAAATGAAACTGAAACAAGAGATGCTATGAGCTGTATACAGTAATATGTATAAGTTAATTATACAATTTATAGACCATCCCCAAAGCAAGAGACTTCCTGACAAAAGGAAACCACTGCCCTTTGTACCATGTACTTCTGTGTACAAAAGTCAGTGGTAAATTTCACATCATACTTCACCCTGCCTCCTAAAATTCTTCACTGAAAGAGAACGCCACGTCCAATTTTCACACATTTGGGGTCAAAATGAGGCTAATGTATTGGAAAAAATTGTCATAAAGTATTAGTACGCAGAAATTATCCCAGAGATGCTATAAGCAAAAATCAACCGGGGGGATTCTCCCCCCGGCTCTTTGAGGGTTACACGTAACAAATATGCTTTTGAGGAGTGGCCTAACAGTTACGCTTATCATTAATATTAATGTTACTAAGAGGTTATAGTGGGTACACATTTTGGACGCCCCTGCGGTACGCATAGTTATTCTTTTTCGTTCAGTCCCGTTCTGTTGTTTTACAAGGCTAGTCCACTTTTCCCCAATAATTGCAAATAACTGTTTTCTATTATCTTGTTTCCACACGGTGGCTGTCTTAGTCAGTAATTCAAAGGCTGTCTCTGTGCATTTAATTCTTTGGTTAATACATAATATATTTGCATAATCCCTGTTTACCCAGATCAGCCACTTCACGAGTCCAGAATCTGGCCTACATTCGTCGTACCTCCCTGCGAACAGTGGCTAGCCAAACTCAAGACTCAAAAAAATGATAAAAATAATAATAATTCTTTGTGTGCGAACGCCCTCTATCGGTGGACTGGTCGCAAAGTGCTATGCTATTGTGGGCAGGTTGGAAATACAGCATGAAAACAGTGGACTATTGCTTCACGGTGGCATTTATCAAAAAATTGTTCTCCCTCCCCCCCTCCTTTGATTACTATGACCGTATAATGTCAGAAAAGACCTCCCCAAACACGTGACTTTTGCTAACCATAGCTACCGGTACTGCTTCAGCCTCGTGTCTTCAGGGATACATGCCTCTGTTTTACGTCAAGCGTCCAGGTGAAATGCTATGCTAGGAAGGGTAGATGAGGACGCAGCACATTCTCTCTTTGTCAAATGTCTTACACTGTAGACTGTCATCGATAAGGAGCATGCTTTTAGCCATGGTTTCGAATAGCCCGTGAGTCCAACTGACGTTAATTGGCAGGTAGAGAAACCAATTGGACCGAGTTTGTAAAGGATCCAATATTTTTTGTCTCAGATGTATGTTGGATAAAAAAAATCTATTGCCTCAGTAGTCAGTATGCTTAGCAATTATACTACTGTGTACCTCTGCCTATTTCCTTCACTTAGCTCATTCCTGAGTGCTACTGCCGCAGACAGGTATTGATGTTTTAAAAACCAACCAATTTCCACTCTGTTTTTATTACCACAGCTGCGTGTGGTTGTGCATCTGTTGAGATCTTTTTCTAAAATACCTTACAAAATGTCGAATATTGAAGTATGTTTAACAGCTGTGACTTATACCCCCTTGTCTTTGCTGGTGTTGGGGAAGACACAATTTGACTTTAAACACCGTCAGGGCCAGTTTTTAAGGAGGTGGAGAAGTACAGACAAGACGGTAACGTGCTTGTTTTGCCCGCAGAAAGAGACCTGGTTGTGCAACCTGTGCCAAAGGCGGCGTCGCTTCTTGGCCACCTCGGGCCTGTGGCACGTGGGCCGCCGCAACAAGCGGTTCTCGGGCTCCAAGTTACAGCGGCGCAGTAGTTTGGACGAGACAGAAAGCGCGCTCAAAACAGTAAGTCGTCTTGCTCTCTACAAGCGACTGAAGCCTGGCCGCGCCCGCAGTGGGGGATTTCAGTGACCGAATGAGCGGAACGTCTTCCTTCTTTGCTGCAGCTGTTAGAAATAGAATAGAAAACATACACTTTTTAAAATCCTTACGTCCTTAACGAATTCCTGACGTAAGCATATGACCGACACTGCAGAGAAGTATAGTCGCATTTTGAGAGCGTGCATTCATCATGGCCTGCGATCAAGCATCTCGTTCATGAAAACCCTCACCGGGCAACTAGCGGCGGTCCTCCGACTGATTTCTTTTGAAATTTTCTGCATGGCATTGATGTGGTGCTGTCTGCTGGCAATGCTTCGCTTGCACGTTCCGCTCGAGATGTTCACAGAGTTCATAATACATGTAGTACATGTTTCTTAGTGGGCCCAGACCACGCGGACATGATCGTGTCCACACCGTCGATGGCATCGCGGGTCGTGATAGTTTTCATGTGCTTGAGTCTGCTCTAGCAAAGAGTGCTTTTGGTAAACAGTGTGTGTAGAGATTCATCCAAGAGCTCTTTTTTTATATAATTTTGGAATCGGCAATTACTTTTTCTTGTTTATTTCACATCATTACCTGTCTGTGGTTTTGCACTCTTGAAAACTCATTAATTATTATGTGTGTATGCACAATTTTTCTTACACTTTGCTCTGATGTGTAGTTTAGCCCTGGAATTGGTATGTCTTACCCCGCGATATTTGTGCAAAGATGTAAATTATTGACCAAAAGGTCACACTTCCTCTTTCGTTGGAAGTAGAAGCAAACGAACGAGGCCCGGCATTTGCAAACCATGCATGACGGCTTCCTGGCCATTATCAACAGACATACTGATTCTAGGTGATGCATATACTGTTCGCCGGTTGTTTTCGAGCATGCTTTCGTTGACATATTTATCCCTCTTGAGCCATTGATCTGTTTCTGGCGGTCGTTTGCTGAGAACATGTTGCCAAGTGTGGATCTGTTCTATCATTTGCATTTCATATTTATTGTTTCATTTGAATGTAGTCGTTGGTATAATGACAAAGGCCTTGGCATCCTGAGGCACTGGGCTTGGATGTTTGTCCACGATGTTTGCTTACTAATGGAAATACAAGTGTTCCAGTGCCTGGCGGCGGAGTAATATCACTTATTACACGTAACCAGTTAATTTCGTGTATACATAAGAGAAGAACATCGTGTAGGCATTGTGACATCATCTTACTAATGGGTATACCAGAAAATCGTTACGTCTAAATGGGCGCCAAAATGCAGCAACGATATAGCGTTTGATAATTTCAACGAAGAGTGGTTTCCTAGCAACCAGATCACGGACGGAGAACTCGGACAGGCAGAGTTCAACATATTTGTTCATTTTACATGAGCTTAAAAAGACAACTGCGTATTCTCAGAATTTACAGTTGAAAAGGCAAAATGAAAAGTGGACTAAACAAAATATCGCGGGTTCATCTAATTTTTGCCAGATGTGTTTGCTGTAGACGTGGAGCTAAAATTAACCCCTTGCCTACTGTTCCAGAATTTATAGATGTCATATTTATCAAAGTGCCAACTCGTCTCGTTGGCTTCTAAGCTGATGGAAACCCAATTGATTCCCCGAACTCCATGCAACCGACTCGATAACCTACGGCAAGGCCGGAACTATAAATCAAACCTCATCGTCGTATGAACCGTGTCGGCCTATTTGTCCCCTTATTTAGGATAATAAGCTCCCCCCCCCAAAGAATGTTTTAATTGCGAACTTAGATCAGACTAATGTATCCAGTTCTCTTGGGAATAATTAGATATTGCAATTGGTGTGAGAAATGTACACACCCATGTCGAGATGTGGCGGCCCTTAACTCGTTGTAAGCGTAAACAGATTGCACCAAACTCACACAAATCTCTTTCAGTCGGTTGGTTATAAAACGGCCATTGCGATTAGAACGATTTTAAATTGTGCAGTCAGTCAGTATATTCAGAAGATATTCTTTTTATTTTTATGCTAAAAAAAATAGGGTTTTCAGCAGGTTTGGTAACTGTACTTCCATCGTGGCTTACTTGCTTTTTACCACGGAGACAAACCGACTCTACAGGATTGTCCCACACAATTCCGGACGGGTAGAGGGTACCACCTCAGGCTCTACGAGACTGTCCCACACAATTCCTGACGGGTAGAGGTTACCACCTCAGGCTCTACGGGATTGTCCCACACAATTCCGGACGAGTAGAGGGTACCACCTCAGACTCTACAGGATTGTCCCACACAATTCCGAACGGGTCGAGGGTACCCCTTCAAAGCGACGAGCAATTAGTTTTAGTACCAATAACCAAATTGACCCGAGTCCATTTCCCAAATGGGACACGATCTGGGCCGTTGACCCACGCCATAACATTCTTTTTCTGAGCGAGATTGATGCCAGCGGAGATGACGCATTCATTAAGGAATGCAATTAGGCCATCGGGCAAAATGTCATTCAAACCAAAAAGGAACCCTTAATAGGGATCATGATTAAACAAATGGCTGGCATTTCGCTGGCGTACTCCCCAAGGAATATTAACATGTAGGCTCATTTGGAGGTAGTGTAATTTTGTTCTTATTTGGAAAGGGGAACCATTAACCTTTGAATTTATTGAAAAAGATCTTATAAAAGGGACGTTCTTTTGAGGAATTAAAATGAGTTTTTAACTATTTGAAGCCGGATGACATGTACTAAACACACTCGATTTTCCTAATTTGTTGCATGGAGGACGTGTACACTCGTTTAAAAATTCTTTTTCATGTCCGTGTATGACGTATTGACGTGTCGTGCTTGTTTGGGTCAAAGCGCAATAATATTGCAAGGTTAAAGAATTTGCCGGTAAGAAAACCGCCCCTGCAGCTTTTTTAGTAAGAAAATGGAACTCTGTACAATCAGCCTCCAGAACAGGGGTATGAAATGATTGTCTGCAGAAAACGTCTTCCAAGTCCGTTCTTTTGAAAAGTTTGGAATTAGTTGAGATAAACGGACATTATTGCACGAGGTAACTTTCCGTGAAAACACTCTTCGTAATTTTTGACCCTGCGTTGATCAATACAGTATTAGAGGTTTGAATTATCGACCTTTCCAAAGAAGGTGAGGCTAGGTCTTCCCACTTCTCTGTAGCCAAAGGAGTCCAAAAATGAGGCTTTGATATCAGGAAAATAATTATAGATACTGATAACAGAGCCAGGCACTATCAAGTAATAGAATGGTGAATTTTATCAAGTTCAGCGTAATCAGTGTAGGTCTATACTTGTGAAAGTTGTTTAAAAATGCGCTTCTCTTCTGAAATAAAAAAAATCAGGTTTACCTCGTAATTTGTACTGTCCTGTATTCCATGTGCACACTTGTTCTGCCAAGGATAAGTTCATTTATTCAAGCTGCATCAATTTGCCTCACTCGTTTTTTATTTTTTAATTTTTTTTTCTGTTCGCGATTGAAATGATGATTACTCATCGGCACTTGTTTGTCACAATCCTTGACGCATGCCAGACTTAATTTACATTTTCTGTTGCTTGTTTATTTATGACTGGACTTACGTTCCCTGTCTTTCATCTCTATGGCAGCCTGGTGTGTGATTTAGTGTTTGTTGTCGTCTGATGGCCTGGGTTGTTACTATTTCTGGTAAAATGCTCAATCGCTAAGTGTTTGGGGGGCGCGCAGAAGCAATCAGTTATAACTATGAGAGCGCGCAATGAGTCAACCTCTCTTCAGTTCTGTCTCCGAATGACATCTTTTCACAGATCCAGGCCTATATCTTAACATGAGTTTCTCTTAGATTTAACTCCGCCGCCCTTGTGAAATTATGCTCGTGGTCAAGGCTATGGGCTGAATTGCTCAAAAGAAACTGTAATATGCATACCAACCCGACGAAAACATGCCGTAGAAGCCAGGACAACACCTTGTTTTCCCAGCAAAGGTGTGTCAGGTGGTTCAAAATTGTTGCAAACTAACCTGCGCTCTAGCTTCCTGTTGTGCCTCTGTTAGGCCTATGTTAACCGTGTCGGTACCCTGCATCTAGTACAGCTTTAAATCACTCAGGCTGGGAATACCAGTCTCTGTCAAACCCTCGTAAGCGTGTTGTGGGCTTCGCATTGGATCGCTTTCTGTGCTAAGTTAGAGAGCTATATCACCGAGGGTGACTCTTTTTGAAACTGTGATTATTTCAGGCCGCCCGGAAAGCACGGAAACTCGAACGCATGGCGTCCTACTCCCAGTATGAGGATATGAAAGCGCAGAGTGGTCGACAGGACTCGCAAGAGGGCGCCGCATCACTTTCCCTACCGGAAGCTGTCTTCGCCGCGTCGTCTGCCGAGGTTTCTGTTGGTGCGAGCAAAGATATGCAAACAACTGATGAGCCAGAACAAGTTTCCGGAAGGACTGATGCTGGTAGGTATTCACCTTACTCTGCATACGGTCATCTAAAAGCAATTAACGTTTCCAAGACAGTTTACAGTGGGTTAAACTTTAGCCAGTTGCTGTTAATTAAATTGGTGACGTACACTTAATTAGTCTTTCATTTTATAGTTCATTTTCATACAACTGCGAGGATATTGTTGTTAACTTCTAATTAAGACAGCTTGTGGCTTTAGTTCTATCTCTGTAATATACGAGACAGATGCATTGAAATTAGATTACAGGAATATTTATCAGTCAAAATCGCTCAGGTATTTTTATGTGTCATTTTTTTTTGCAGTTCCCCCATCAAAACCTCCCCGGTCTTTCTCCATGGAAGATGCCATGTTAGAGCATGATCAAAAACCGGATCCATATCTATCGACTGGAGAGAAGAGCCCTAAGATAACGCATCCTACCTTGCCGCCGGACCCGCGAGACAGTGACCTCTCTAACGTCGAAACTGCTCTCTCAGCGAGCAAGGTAAACATGGTGCAATCTGTTCCCTCGGCCGAAAGCGACGTGGACATAGACGAGGAGGAAATGATGAGGCAGTTGCTGGAGATGGCGGAGGGCGCAGGTGAAGAGGGCACGGGCAGTGCACAAGGAGGATTTCCTGTCGATGACGGCGACCAAGATCTCAGTGTGTCAGGAGCTGGTTTCCAGGATGGCGCACAACCCGAGTCAGCTGCTTCAGAGCAGGCCGACGGAAAGCAGAGTTATCTCCAGAGACGATTCCGCAATCTGGGTGTTTTGTACGAGAGGGAAGAACGGGACGGATTGGGTGACTCGGGGGAGTCGCGAGAAATCTCAAGCGGGGCTACGAGTGCTTTAGTCACGCCATTGCTGACTGAGCACGAGCAAGAACTAATACGCGAATCGTGCGGGGACGCGCGGTCAAAAACGCGGGACTTTGTTAGTCACAGATCCTCCTCGGCGGATAGAGCGACCGATGACGAACCGAAGCCGGCAAGCAGACGGAAGATTTTAAGTACATCCTTCGATTCGTATGAGTCCCACAGTGATAGCGAACTCAAACCGAGCAGGTCAAGGCTAAGCAGGGATGTTAATGAGATGGGAGCCTTGTCTGGGAGTGACCCCAAGCTGTCGTCAGCTGGAGATTCCTCAGAGAGAGAATCACTAACTTCTGGTGCAGACTCCCTGGAGAAGTTGTACGTGCCTCAACTTTCGCCAGATGAATTCACCTCGGATGAGAAATACAGGTCAGTGGAGGACCTTACCAAGGTCGGTACGGATGAGTCGGAAACACCTGATGATCCGGAAAACGGCTCCACTAGAATTGCCACCCCGGCAGTCGGTCAGCCCCAGTTCCAATACGTCAAGCAGAAGCCCAACAGTTTACCGAGGAGGCGGAGGAGCAGACCGGTCATGGAGCTGCCTCTCTCCCCTATATTTGACGAAGAGACAGGGTCGCCCGATCTACAGCACCCGGCGGGAGACTTCTCTTCCCCGGAATACGCAGATCCGTCGTTGGCAGAAGATTCCCCGTTTGAGTACGAGTATGAGGACGACGCGGATGCCTCGCAGGAGGGCTTCTCCTCGCAGGACGAATTGCCGAGGACCGAAATTGTTGAGGACCTGGAGGCGATGGAAGAGGAGGCGGCGGTTCAGCATGAGTACGGGGATGACTTTGCGGTAATGACGAGAGATGAAGGCCTAGCAACACTAGTAGAGGAGCAAGAAGAAACACCAGATACTGAGAATAAAACGGGAGAATCCGATAACATACAGCAAACGACCAGTCCGAGTGATCTGGTAGAGGACGCTGTCGTGCCAACTGTCCCTGCTCCAAATGCCAGCAAAACGCAACACACACCAGAATTGTTATTAGTTAAAAGCCTTGCTAGTGACAAGGACAGCACAGCTCTCGTAGAAGGGTCTGTGCGGGATGATATGGAAAGTCTATCCCAATCAACCGCTAGGGAACATGAAAAGCGTTTGCCTGGTCACTCCCAAGACGATGGGAATTCCTCATCAAGTCTAACAAGCAGTCAGTCCTCAGAGGAACCGCCCAAAACGGTGCTCTCCAATAAAGAGGAAAAAGACAGTCACTCACCAAGACCCAAGCCTCCCCCGCTAGGCATGATGCCACCGAGGTACAGCATGGAAGCTTACTCCAGCCTGGAGTCCGAGGAAGGGAACAGTTTGCTCAGCTCGCCTCGAACTCCCAGTTACGACACTGACAGTTTTGACAAACCAAAAGCCACCAGCCCCGGCAAGAAACAGGTGGATTTGGACTCGCCACTCAGCCCTAGTTTTCGCTTTTCTCCACCAGCGACACCTAAGCATCTTCTGGAAGCAAGTAAGCATTTAAGTGACAGTAGCTACACATACGATAATTCGCCAAGCGAATTTTCGGATGAAATCCAAATGTCTCCGGTAACACTGACGGTGTGCAAGCCGCTGGTGTCGCAGGTTGGATCTCATTTTGATGATTTTGACGATGCTGCGAAGGATCAAGCACCCGTGGATTCGGAAGCAATAGGTCCAGATGTGCCTTTGGATGCGACAGAACAAAGGGGAGCTCTGCAGAAAGGGGATTCAGATGGAGGAAAGACAACTGAAGTAAAGACAGTTGAAGTAAAAGCGGACGACCTAAACAGGCCGACACAAACGGCGGAGGCCGGCATTGGGACCCAGACGGAGCACATTCTAAGTGTAATGATTCCAAAACCGTCTCCTTCACGTCGATATCCCGATGATGATAAAACAAAGACGGTAAAGACGCAGTCTACCTCATCCCAGACTGCGTCCCCGATATCAGATATCGAACTCAGCACCGACAGCTCCCCTGTCAAACAAGCTCGGGCCAGAATCCTCATTGACGCCGCTGTGGACGCAACCGCCAACAACCCGCTCCTCTTGCCTTTGTCTCCGATGCACACAGCCCAGGCGAAGACCACCAACGTGGCCGTGGGAACGAGCCCCGAGTACTCCCCTCCCTCGTCAGCTCCTTCCACTGACACCGAGTCGGTCGCCAGCCGATCATCTCGTGTGAAATACACCCACGGTGGATTTGGCAGCGATGGCGACACAACGGACTGGGGCGCCAGTATGCCGTTTTCCTCCATCGCGTCGTCCAGTGGGACCTCGAGTCCCGAGAGGAGTTCATCCTTACGATCAACCCCGCTGAAGTACCTCCCACTGGAGACGAGTAGTGCCTCCAACACGTCCCCGCCTACCACGAGGAGGAGTCGCATAGACTGGGAAACGTCAACCCAGAGGGGATCCTCGACCCCAGCAAGAACCCGTGTGATGCGGGATAGTGTCAGCTCAGAACGAAGGGTAAGCTTATAAGCCCGTCAACCCCAAAATACCCGGCCTTTTTGGTGGGCAGATTCAATTGTTGAGAGTTGTGGAGTTCAGTTTACTCCGACATGAGGTTTTGATGTTCTAGTCATATGAAGCTTACGGCCTTATGATTTTAACCTGTGTGGATTGAGTATGTCGGTGAGGGAACTTAATGCGTAATAGCTGATCTGGCTCTGGGGAAGTTGTGTGCGAGTGAGAACAGTATGTCTTATTCTCATGTAATTGGCTTCAACTTTATCGAATGACGTTAATTAAATGGAAAAACTCACTAAGACTTGCTGCAAAGAATTGCGCAGATGTTGGATAAATGTCGACAGGACGGACTTCACCCAGGCTCCTTTAGGGTTGAAAAAAGAGGAAAACTTGAATCTCTAATGGCATGCACCAAACCATCTTTTCCAAAAGGAACAGTAAGGCTTTTCCGAAAGAACAGCGGTTGCCACCTATCTTGTCTTACATGACTGTACCGACAAATCTTTACGGTGGAGATAATTTGCGTGTTGGCTTGAATATGAACTGAGTATTTTGACAAGACCAATCTAGGCAGATATACAGGGCGACTTAGTAACGTCATGGTAACGTTGCCAACCCTCGTACAAAATGATCGGTTGCTGCCTGTCTTCAAAACGGAAGCTGGCACAGAAAAAAACGTTAAATAGAAATAAGTGACCCCTCTTGATCGACCTTGTGAGGAATTTGGTCATTGATTTTTCCTCATCAATATTGTTATCAACGTTTTTGTAATCATAGACATTATTGTCCTTGAACTTAGCATACTCAAGCAACACACACTCAGCAACTTTGTAATAAACGTATAATGGAAGCCTATATTAATGATAACCATGCAGCATACAATGTGCCAAGCATTCAGTTTATTACAATATCGAAACCTCGGCTTCCGTGTACTCTAGTAATTTCTATGTACTGATCAAAGTCCACATATAATTTCCGTGATATTTCAACTTGAAGGAGTAACATAGATGTGCAGCTTGATTTAATCATTGATTTCACGTTACTATCTCTTACTTGTACACAGCTGTATTAAATTACTACCCAAAGAATATGTTTTCTTTGTAGACCTCCTCAAGCGACATTGACAGCTGTGACAGCGACGGGGGAACACCGTCTAGCACACCCCGGAAGGTCCGGCGTCGTCTCCCCTCAATTCCATCTGACCAAGTGCCCGTCTCTGCCCCTCGCAGCTCGACCTCGCACAAGGTCTTCCTGGATAAAGACCAGAATGTCACCGATCCCAGCAAGCAGTTGGAGTTACAACGAGTCCGGGAGATGCTGAGCCGGAAGGCTGCTGCGATAGAGAAACAGCGCAGGGACGAGGAGCTCCGAACTCTCCGTATCGAAGCGGAGCGGCAGCGGGTAGGCGCTGCCAGCGAGAGGATCGCCCGACGCCGGCAGCCCAAACAACGGGGTAGATACTACAGTGACGGCTCCGTATCCGACTCCGAGGTAGGGCCTATTAGTAGCGGCAGGGAGAGCAGAGAGAGAGATAAACTCGATACCGACTGGGGACTAGGTGTGCCTGCCCTCTCCATGCAAACCCTGAGCACGCTCGACACTCAGCAATCGCCGACCCATGGTGCGCGCTACGGTTTAGAGCCACCAGGAGCGCCCAGGAGCACGCTGTTTCTTTCCAAGTCCGAGGAGGATATCATCAGGGAAATTGAGAAGCAGATTTCCGAAACGACAGGGAAAGCGTATCAGGCGTACGACCGCTCGGAGATCGAGAGAGATGTCCGCAGGCGTTACGGTGCTTTACACGACTCCGACCGCAGTAGCAGTCAGTATTCCACCTCCTCCTCTGGCTCACGGGGCAGTCTAAGCGACAGCTGGAGCTCCGTGACCTTTGAACTTCCAGACTATCGCTTGAGGGCCGTGCGCCAGAAGCTGAAGGAGGAATTAAAACTGGTCACTGCCGATAAGCGGGCGCAACTTGACCGGGATGCAGTTACAAACGACCCCATGCAGCGGGCACCGAAAGACAAGGGAGCCTTGAGAATGGATGCCTCGCTGGGGTTCTTGCAGGGCGGTCGAGCCAACGGCAAACCGCAGTTGCTCGCGGTGCCCGGCATGGATAAGCCGGACAGAAACGGCAAGTCTACGAACGCAGGCAGCCGCTTGTCACCTCAGGCGTCTCCGCAGAGACGGCGGAATCGCAGGCAAGCCGCCGACTCCGTTCCGCCGATGTTTTCCCCGATCAAGGAGGATGTCGACATCGAGGGTGAGGTTCTCTCCAAGCATTACCCGGACGAATCCGACTCCCGGCTAATGACGCAGGAACCGTCCAGTGTTGAAGGGCGCAGTTACAGACACAGAAAAGATTTTACGAAGGAACTATCAAGGGAGAGGTCCTCACACGAATCATCGACAGTTGAAGCCTTGTCGGAGGCTCCATCGTCAGGCAATCGTAGAAGGCGCAAAGACACACCCGTAGCTACTCACATAAAGGTAGGTACATGTACAGAATTTAAGCTCATTATGTTGTCATTTTTCTAACATCACTGTAGCCTGCTGTGTCCACTAACTGGTTGCATTCAAAGAATTATCTTTTCGGACGACATGAATCCAAACCAATGAGACAGACCACATAAAGAGTGTCAATCGCTTTACAAATTTGAAAAAAAATGGAGCTGATTACCTTAAATTAGTACAGTTTGAAACGGCCACAACTGCTGATGAGACGATACGAATGAAAGTGGTTATTATGTTGTGTATTTTAAAGAGATGAAATTTTGCCTTTGGATTACAAAATCGCTAAAGCCCATAATTAGGAGTGGAAGAGGATTTCACATATACGAAGTCAGATTATATTCAAGACCTGACACTTTTGTATCAAAATAATTAAAAATAACAACAAAGCCACCTTTACTGGAAAAAAGAGGGTTATGTTACAGGATATACCTTTATACTCGGTATACGTCGGTTTGTCCCTTTTCAGTTCCATTGTTAAACCCAAAGGGGTGTGTCTGCGTAAATTCTTTTTAACTCGGTATTTATAAACGATGTTTTGTCAACAGTGCAAATGTTTAGTCTGGTCTGTGAGCAACCAGGGAATCTCAATCTAGGTGGAGATTATTCATTCAAAACCTTGAGAAAAGAGCTTGTAAGGCGCTTGTAAGAGCCCAAAGTACATATTTCCTTTGAGCTTAAAAAAATTTCTGGTTTTTTTCTGCATAACGTGAATGGGTTTCATTAGCCCGAGGAAGTGGACCGTCTCAGCCGTGAAGGTGAGATGATCGAGAAGCGCATCCGAGAGCAGCAGGAGAAGGAGTTTCGACGGGAGATTGAACGCCGCAAGAAACAGATGGAAGACTCGGCAAAGCGCCTGGACGAGCTCAAGATCAGACGGGGCGTCGAGTGGACCGCGGCCGCTGGTGGCCAGGCTGCAGGCGCCACCGGCCCTGGACCGGCGACGAAACCCTTGCAGGGTCCGGTGAAGTTGAGCCAGAGCCTGGACGAGATCGCTCGACGGCGGGAGCGGGACGGCTCCCCTCTAGGCGTGGAGCGCCGCCACTACGGGTCACTGGAGACGGTGACCCGGGACAAGGGCCGGGGCGCCCGGGAGACGGTGTCTATGTCTACGCCCCACCTAACCGAGAGGGAGAGGGCGGTCATCAAGAGGGATCAACAGGGGTTGATTTTACCGCTGGACGAAGAAACTAGGCTACAGAAGGGTGCATCGGAGCACGGGAGACGGCAAACAAGGGCAGGGAGGGGAGATAGGTGAGTAAAATGAGAAAAGTTGGTAGCTTGCAGACTGTGGACAAACATTTCCATATAGGTCCTGTGTTCGTAGAAATCGTAGATGTCTACCTTATTTTTGTATTTTGACAAACACAAAGGAATGGTGTTGAACAAAAACTACTTAAAATTTAAGAACTGGAGAGAAGTTCCATTAAAAACACCACTCCCGGCTAGGAAGGTGGAATGTACGTGGCTTTTCTTCGTTCATTCAGAACTGAATACGCTCGCCCTGATGAAGGCTACCGAAAAGTTACCGATGATGAAGTTACCGAAAGCTCGGCAATAAGATAAATTGAGAGCACTGATTGTATATATTTTTGTCCATATTCTGATCACAGTGCTACGCAGCCCTTTCATGTTTTATTTTGGGCTTTTTGTTCGTATAAACAGCTTCTTTTCGACGTCACAAATATTCATTTAATGAGGCATTGCTGCAGTTCAGTGAAAGTGGTACAAACCCACATGCCACATAGTCGTGTGTGTATGTTAGAGCCTATTCCATTCGGCACTATTGCCACCGATCTAATCACCATATGTAAAAGACAAGTACATGCAAAACACACAAACAGTATCAGTGGAATAAACCAAACCAAACCCAAACCAGTTATAGATTCAAAGGTTACTTTGGTCTTTTATTTGGCATATGTTCGGCAGCTGAGAGGCTAAAGTACAAGTAGTTGATTTTGTTATTTCCAGATCAGATTCGCATTATTGCAAACATGAATTTGAAAGTATCATTATGCATAAATGCAAGAAGAGACTCATGCGTTATTTCATCTTTTCCACCTTGTCAAAACGTGGTCCCAAATTACGTCTGGTGAGCACGTCTAATTCAGCATCTCCACGTTCCACCCTGTCCTCGTCTCCTTAGGCTAGAGCGATCCTCGTCACGTGAAAAGCGCCCACATCGGCAAGACAGTATGGAGAGTGTAGGCTCCAACAGAGCGTTCTCCGAAGATGATGAGGCAGGCTACTCGGACAGCAGCAAGGTGAGAAAAAATGTTCCCACACTCATGTAGGTCGACGAATAAACATGGGAAATGGACTGGATAACAGACGGTGAATACTAAATGGCCAAGCAGAAAATACCGTCAAAGCAAAAATTCAGCGAGGGACTAGTCACGAGGAATACAGAATGCGTGGCGTTTTGGCTGGTTACCCACTTTTGCTCAGCCAATATTTTCTTCGCTCAACAAAAGCGGTCATGTCTTGTCAGTCAACTTAGAGGTCCGGTTTAGACCCTACTCCGCGTTGTGAGTACCCCCTGGGCTGTAGACCTACGGTTGAACACGACTACCGCAACGCGAACGCAGCGTTTTGCAGACGAACACACGTCGAGCATACTGCGCGCCGCACGGGCATGCGATGTGTCCACTCCGTACTGGACATCGTTGACTGCTAAGCATGAAACAAAACCCCCTCTTTGTGTTAACGCCCTGAACGCGAAGTCGTGGACAGAGTTATTTCAACCGGTGAGAATATCTGTTGATATGCAATGCACGTTTTCGCCACTCGTCGTGTGTCATAGTTTAATGCTTCGAAATCATGAACCAATTCTGATAAAATAGAACTACAGCAACTTGTGTAATGCAAGAAATTTCTGATCCCTGCCTCGGCATTTCTTGGGTTGAATGCAGTGCATCCAATACGCTGTTTCTGTGTAAGGGAATAGATCGCTGCTTTCGTTAAGTCAATATCAAAGACTGCGTAGCGCCATGCAGCGGTTATCTGTAGCACACAAGTAACTCTTTGTCCCCGCATACAAGCATATGTGTGCCACGGATCTGAAAAGGTTTTCAGAGTCTGGAGAATAGACAGAAACTGATACACGTGTGTGCACCAAAAAAGGTATCAAATCTTTCCCTTTTTAAGTTCATTGTTTGAGTAGGAATACAGGCGATTCACAATAGTGCGCCACCAATAGTTTGCAACGCGTTGACCAGTAAAAATGCGTCGACCGAATGCGCGTTTGGAAAGAGTCGACAGATTTTGCGCATTGTGATGTGCCAACGCGTTGCAAACTCTCGGTGTTGCACTTCTATGAAACGGCCGCATTGCATCTCCAAACAACCACTGGACATCATTCTTTTTCACAAGGAAGGGGATTCTTATTTGTGTGAGCTTATTTTGGTAACGCATTGTGTCACGGATTGTCAATTATCATGGGCACTAAAATTGTCAGCATTGGGTATCCTGCAAATTTTGCTATCATAAAAAGCGAAATAAACGTGAGAAGTCACGGAAAGTACACGTAGATGGATGCAATATACACCACTGCAGCTGGATCTAAAGCCAGACAAGTGTTATATGCGAGATACATTTACGCGGTGTCGAAAGACAAGCATTGACTTAGCATTTACTTCCTCTTTCGTGAGCAAAAACAAAAATTGTTTCTGACTGGCATAGCTATCGATGAGTGCTAGATCCGGTGTGCAAACTCCTTGAACTTGGTTTCTGTTTATGTTACGGTCGGCTTTTCAATAACAAACATGACAGTGTACCATGCGTGCGCTCTCCGTGGGACTAATGCAGTGTCTGTAACACCCATCTACCCATCTGCTATTTTTGAACATTTTAGCATTTGCTTCTGGGCATTAGTAAAGATCGTTTTGTTGAAGGTACTAGTTCTTAAACTTAAAGCCATGCACAGCACTCTAGTGTTGTGTCATTCACATCAAGGTTCCGGGATCATGAGAAAGCAACACCAAAGAAGAAATTCAACGAGAACTGTACTCAGGTCTAAATAATTTATTAGCTCCAGAACTCACATTTTGAAGAACATAATACAGAAATGAATCGTATAAGGTGGGCGCTGTCGACGGTTCCCTCGGACCAAGTACTACCCGCGAGCACAGCAACGTGACCGAAATATAAAGACATTATTCCGTAATCTAACAAATGAATAGGCAATTCCATAGCTGGTGTATTCAAAAATGTGACGAATGTTTTACAACACTAGCATTTTGTTGTAAGGTTTAGAATACTATCTGCATTACAGTTGTGTTCGTAATGTTGACAAATTTTGCCTCAGATTTACGTTTGGTACCTTTTGAGACAAATAGCAGCAGGTTTTTTTAAAACGGGCGATTCACAATAGTGCTCCTCCAAGACTTTGCAACGCGTTGACCAATCACAGTGTGCGAAATCTGTCGACCCAATGCACGTTTGGAAAGGGTGAACAGATTTTGAGCACTTTGATTGGTCAACGCAGTGCAACTTCTTGGAGGCGCACTATTGTGAATCATCCCCATTATAGGCTTATAACAATCAAGATCATAAATGAAGTATTTTCCTTATAACGACAGTGGTGCAGTTTACAAGTTATTATTTATTGATATGGGCATGAATTTACACATTTTACATCTGTTTTCATAAACTTGTCCCAATGAATTCAATTAGAATGGATATGGTCTTCGACTTGAAGACTAACTGAACAAGGCTTAATAAATTTTAAAAGAAAAGCAGGGTTGGATCCCGATGCATTATTTTAAAAAGGGTTCGTATTAATCTTTTACTTGATTTGCCATATGCACACGAAAGAAAAGTGAATCAACATACGCTTTAGACCCAGTGCAACATTTTTGTAGAATTATAAAAAAAATTCTTTTGTGTTATATTATTATTATATTATCTAAATCATGTGTGTAGACCTCTCGAAAGGAATATACTAATGGAAAATGTGTGAAATGTCATACGTCAACTCATTGATCATTCTTATCGTTTGGAATTCCTCTCCGTAAAATAAACTGGTCGGCGTGATGATACACACATTCCTCCTTGGTCTTTCTGGTGATATTCTCAGGGCAGCACCAGAAGACGTCGTAGTTCAGAAGAGCGACGATCCGCCGAGGAATCGACCCGTCATCACCGTGACCACCGCCATCACCAGCGTGATCGTGACCACGGACGCACATCGCCCGCTACGCAGCGGGACCGTGATTACGGTCGTACGTCCCCTGCCTCTCATGGTCGCATCTCGCCTGCAACACACCACCGGGACAGTGAGTACCATGACTACCCGCAACGTCGGCCACACCATCGGTCAAGGGAGGATGTGATTTCGTCCGAAGAGCGTGATCGGGAGCGTGGCGCGTATTCCGACCGTGGACGCGACCACCATCACCGTCAGCACAGCCGTTCACGGGAAGACATCTTATCGTCTTCCGGGCGTGAGCGCGCACGTACCATCAGCCCAAGTTTAATCCGTGACCGTGATACTCACAGGGAGCGAGAAACGCATCGAGATCATAGACGCCGTCAGCATCACCACTCAGGCGAAGATCTTTCAACGATCTCCAAGACTAGTGAGCGATCAACAGCAGGGCCCCGATCGAGAAGTCTTCCCAGGGTTTTGCAGTCTGAGAGGCGACAAGCTTCCCCAGAAGGTATGTTCATTTTTATTCTTTTCTCTTCATCAAAACTTCCCTATGCCTCCAGCCTTGCGAAATCATTGATTTGTGTCAAAAAAGGTTTCTCGTGTAACGTGAGATGAGAATAAAAACTGTTTCCTTCTGCCTGTTATTAACATAAAACGAAATTTTCATGGAACTCATTATAGGAACATAATTTATAGGCACCGATTGGTATTACTTATTGATTGGAATAAAGCAGCGTTTTAGCGGCTTTGGGAATATTTGGTAGAGTTCCAGGATATACCTCACACTGTTTTCCAACTGCAGATTATTATTACGGGGACCAGGTTTACCGGATGCAGGCCAGTGAGTGGACCCGTCGTGCTGATGACAGTGGCGATGACGAAGACGAACGACGACGACAGGTCATCTACCAAAGCGTGCCCGGGGGAGCTCGTCATATGCAGGTAGTAGTGGGCCTTTTGAAACAGTGTGCGAATAAAATGGCTGTTTTTTGCGTCGTGAAACATTTAAAATGTTATCGCCAACGCAGGCTTAAATGAACCTCGTAAAGGCGCTTTTCCATTATGCGCGGGAGCTCTTGCGCCAAGCGTTGTGTATCCGTCAAAATCGCTCATAAGGCGATTTTGACGGCCGAACGCAACGCACACGACGTGTTTTGTTAATGGAGTCGGTTTTTTGATAGTGAAACGCATGAACGTATCGTGTACGCAACGCACCCCAAAACCGTACATATGGAAAGGCGCCTCAATTAAGCCACCGAAAAACAAGGCATGACCAAACCGTGAAAAGGATCCACGCGAGAAACTCAGTAGCAGTTATGCAGGGATTACGAAAACGATAAGTGGGAGGCTGCGAAGTACAAGTGAAGAAAGATTCTCGATTCAAACGACACATAGATGCACATAGGTGTCCTCTTCATCCAAGAAAATAATCACTTACCTAAAAGGCTGAACTTACTCAGTTCAGTTATGTGGACGGATACCATTCAATTGTAATTGATGTGATGGCTTTTCTTGCATTTTCATTGCAATGCAACTTTAACAGTACACCTCCTTTACTCAGCAACGCCACATATCTCGTGCCGACTACCAGTTCCCCACTAGGCGATTCCGTCTGCCGCGGGATCCCCACGACAAGAAGTGCAGGAACCACGGCATCGGCATGCGGATTATCGGTGGGAAACGGATACCAGGGACAGATCAGCTAGTGGCCTACGTGGCAGAGATACGACGTGGCGGAGTCGCTGATAGAGAAGGTTTGTTGACGCTTATGACATCCCGCGTCCTGATTGCACAGAACGCGGTGCATTGTGGCCGTTGTATGAAAGCTGACAGCAAATAGATGTTTTCATTTCAGAATAACCAGAAGCATTTTCATGTTATAACCTGAAGTGTTTTCATTTAAATTATGTGTCAAGAATTTGATTAACACGGCGAAACCGCACGACTAGAATCTTCTGCATCAGGAAAATAACCTTATACTGAAGAAGATTTCTTACCATTCTGACGGTGCACGTGATGTAGGTTTACGAGAAGGTGACCAGGTACTGGAATGGTGTGGTATGCCGCTAACCGGCCGAACCTACGAAGAGGTCCAGCGTATCACTCGGACAGCGGACGGTGACGTGGAAATCGTTGTCAAGTGGTATGCGCTGGAGATGATAATCCATTGTCGGATACGGGGAGAAACAGATCCATGCCCCCTCCCTTTTTTTCTTGTTTCAACAAAGTATTGAGAAGGACGATTTGAGGGACCTTGTCACTTCCCTTCCTTTCCCTGTGAAGAGTCCCAAAACGTATCCTTACACCTGAGAAGGCCCATAATGCAATACTGTAATATGTTCCCCATGCCTGAAAATTTGGGTCTGGGTCCGCCCTTGCTTTTACCCAATAATAAGTATCGCTTACGAGTCGAAGTAGATCGAATGCTTCAAAATAAATTATGATTTTTCACTAACCTAGTATTCGTGGCCTAGTATCCATCAGCGGAACACCTATTTTGTCATCTTTTCGACTCTAACTACTTTCACGTATAGAAATATTGAATGTGTATTTTTCTGTCCATTTTAGCGGCACGAACTTGCTGGAGTCGCCACGACAACGGAGCAGGCCACCGGACAATAGTGCGCCGAGGTCACGGTCGACCAGCAACCCACCTCAGTTTAATGAAGACGGTGAGAATAGGCTTGTGGCCAGTCTATCTGTGGGCGTGAATGTCTCTCCGGGTTGTTAACATCAAATGATTTCCTACTTTAATCCTGGAACTATCTACTTTACTTCTGTTTGTTCAGAAATACGACGACATACTTTGCCATGATCACTGACCGATTTTTGATCTACCGTCCTGACTTACACCTTTTTCAGCTCACCCTTACCAGTGTAATTAATTCAAATAGTTGTTTTCCCTAACATTTTGCCCATTGCCTGTTAGTCAAGCTCGAGAGAGTTTTGCTCATGTTCCATCAGACACTTTCCAGTTTACAACACCGTCATTTGTTTGAAAATCAGTTTATTTTAAACGCGCTGCGCGAAAATTATTTTCTACACCACACTTCACTGGCGATTTACAATGCAGCAGCATCAAAGCTTTCCTAAATATGTTATATTCGGTTAACTTCCATTGCATCCTTTCTTTGGCCCCGCCTGCGCGTGAAGGTGTGCCCAGTTTAGTTAATACTCAAGTTGTTCGAGCAGCATATCCCTGAAAAAAAATTCATGTGTATTTATTAAACAGAGTCACTGGAAGAAGAGGCTCTCCGCAATGGCGTGGATCCCCGGATGTTGTCTGAACGTCTAGAAGGAATCTCCAAGGCCCAGTACGTGTATAGTTCTCCCACCACCTCGGCAAATACCGATAACTCCTCGCCCAAGGTAGGCCTATATGTGGAAATGTTGAGCGTGTGGTGTGAATTAGTGTTGCAAGGGTTGTGAAATGTATTATCTCCTTAGTGAACTAACTGAAAAGATTCATCTAGATATTACTGTGATGGTAGGCCCTACGGTGTAAGTTCCTTTCACAGCACTATTTTGATTGTCTTTTCATGCTCCGTTTATTACCTTCTACTCGGATAACGTGGACAGTGAAGTCGGTGTTTTGGAATGGTAGTTGGAATAATGCAGTTATTTTTGTGAAGAAGACATTTGGGTTTTGTGATGGCACGCTGGTTGTGCTTTTTGTTTAACTGACTTGAGATTCTCTGATTTGGGGTTAATCATTCGTCAATTCTGTAAGCTCATTAAGCTCAAAATGTACGGACGTTGGGCAGTGTCACGACTTTGTAACAAGAAAATGAGTTTCCCTTCATTACATATTTCTCAGCGGCTTTATGCCCGCCCTATTCAGCAAACAGTAATTGTAGACAGCTGAATAATTGTCATTCTTCCCCTGTCTTACAGAGGAAAGGCCGAGATAGGAATAAGAAAATAAGTGGTGAAATACAGGTCAGTAAAGAAAGAAAAGCGCCGAACGAATACAAAGAAATGGCAAAGATTAACAAAGCACGCAAGAACACATGCTATAATCACCCAAGGCCACAAAATTATCGGAACTGTTTCAAAGCTTCAGTCGGCTGATCTTGGTCTAAAACGATAACAGACCGAGGAAAAACCGAGATCACGTGAGAAAAACATCCCAGTGCTGACATACTGATTCGGCGTTTCCTACCTTTTTGAATCCTTCGGTAAACTCTGCATACTGTGTTTTGTTTTGCTTCTGTACAGTGCTGTGATCATAATTGTTCAAAATGCTTCAATAAATACTTAGTTTTCCTGATTGAACCTTTAAACGATAACTCATTTTGAAATCAGTCCACCTTATCTTACCAACACAGATTCAGTTGGACTATGACGAGCGAACAGGTGACCTGAGCGTGGGTATACTGCGGGGCCGTGGACTGGCCCCCAAGGATATTAACGGTCTGGCCGACCCGTTTGTCAAGACGTGCCTTCTACCCGGAAGAGGGTAACTTCATTCATTTTTTTACGGGACTTGTCCAAGAAGAATGATCCTGCCGCCAACAGAAGCAGGAATTTCTGGTCTCTTGTGGTTTCAGTCGTGTCATTTAAATCCAGTAGTGCAATGTCTAAAGACCTAGTTTCCATATCGGCGGAATTAGATGCAGACAGCAACGCCGAACAGTCCTCAGTGATAAACAATAAAATGAAATTCTGTTTCATGGATCATGTTTAACTTTGCCAACTGTCTGCTTCAAGTTGTCAGTGTAGGTCGATACAGACTCGGTTGCTGGCCAGAATGGCAATACATTGCTGTCTTTCTCCCTTGAGTACCATGTATTGGACCCTTTTTCTCCATATGACAAAAACTAAACTCAAATTGTCAATACAACAGCTGACTATGAATTAAATACTTTGAATTGAGATATAATTGGGCGTCAAGAATCGGTGTAAAAAAAGTCATTTCATTCGAAATATTAGCGAGTTTCAGACACCGTTCAATTCACTTGTTTGTCCACTGACGTCACTCGCCGTCTCGTTCTCGATTCTCTGCATCTCATCATCGTTACAACCATATGGAAACTAGGCTTGAAGGACAGACGTTTAGCTACTCTTTTTCGAGAACGGTCTATCTTGAGATTTGGATGGGAACAAGACTTTCCGGATGGCAGCTGCATGGGTCATGCCTTAATTATCGCTTTAGATAAGGAGTTTGCCATGTGCACCGTTACAACGTTGCATAGTAGTCTCTCAGTCTGCTTAAAAAAGCCTCGGGCACAGGTGCAATTAATTGGCGAATTCCGTTTAACACCTGTTTACTTCAATTCACTGTCTTCACCCAGCAGACCGGAAAACAAGAGGAAAACGAGGTACGTTCCAAAGACACTGACTCCGGAGTGGAATCAGACGGTGCTTTATCGGGCCATCAAACCTCAGGAGCTCGCTACCAGGATTCTGGAGATCAGCGTTTGGGACTTTGACAGATTCACTTTCAATGATTTTATGGGGCAGGTAGGCAACATTGAATTTAGAAGTAAGCCTTAGGCTTATACTCCATGCAACTAAAGGCGCCTTTCCTTATGTACTTTTTTGTTTTTGTTTCAATTTTGTTTTTTTGTTTTGTTTTTTTTTGTTTTGTTTTTTTGGTGCGTTGCATACTCGACGCGTTCATGCGTTTTACTTTCACAGACACAAAAACCGACTCCATTAGCATAACACATCACGTGTGTGTTGGGTTCGGCCGGAGCGATTTTGGCAGATATGCAACTCTTGCGCAAGTGTTGCCGCCTTTTAATTAAGAGTCGTTCCTGTCCAGATTGGAAGTAAAACCGTGGATCTTCGTTTCAATAGTTCCCAAAGTTGCTAAGATGAGGCTTATTCATAGTTATTTATTCAAACAGATTCTTATAGACTTATCGGACCAACACATCCTAGACAACCGCCCTAGATGGTTCTCCCTTCAAGACCAGCCAGCAAGCACCGGCCAGCAAGAGGCCTTTTCCCCGCGTGCCCTCTCACCGATCACCACCCTTCCCTCGGCGCATCCTGGCCACCCAATGAGCCATTTAATGGGCCGGGGACGGGGAGGGTCAACTACTGGGTCCGGGGACCACGGGTCTCCGGAGAGACGCCGCGCGCTGTCCCGCTCCATGGAGCGAGTGCAGGGGTCCAGTGTCACCCAGCAGTTGATGGAGTCGGACTCACAAAGTTCCCGCTCCTCGGGCTATGAGTACGACACTGATCGGTCCACTCAGAGCGACAAGTCTGGTTGGAGCCAGGGTAAGATGAAATCCAAATAATACGGTTATTGAGGAGATTTGCTGCTTGCTGAAAATTGCTAACCACTTTCCTGGGATGTGAATATAAAAAGGAAGACAAAATGTTGTTATTATCATGCTTATGGCTAATTATACTGTATGTGACTAGAATTCTCTTGATCAAGATTTATACGAACGCAGTAATCCGTAATTGAGTAGCAAAGCTGATGAACGTAACAATAATTTGGGAAGCCGAGTTGTTTTTCTTCGTTTTGCACACTTTGTATAAATACTCTTTATTTAAAGAAGGAAGGGACGCCATATATTTCTGCACTTTCGTGTACAGGTTCATGAAGGAGGTTTTCTTTCCAAGATATCAAATTGATTTGCGGGAATGAAAGTTTCACCTTTAGTTGGGCACGAAGTTTGTTTCAGTTTGTCTTTGTGTAGCCTATTCACAGTGATGAGGAGTGGCAACATTGTCGAGTCTTATTTCCAGTCGCTTTTCCTCGTGCATGTGTGTTGATTTCTGTCGCCATGATCGTTCGTGTATGTCAAGCCACGAGACGCTCTCACTCTGTTGTCTTTCCATGCAGGCTGATAATTTACAAAGTGGCCCCTATTCTTCTCGCCATATGACCTTTCGATCCAGTCGGCATTCTCCTCTCATTCTTTTCCATACACATTCCTCACCAGACGATACGATATCTCCCATTTTCCCTTCGAAAATTGGTACATAAAGCTGAATTCACATCGAACATTTTTTGTCCATAAACCTAAATTAGCAGTAGGTGAATCATAACAAGTCCCTTTTTCACTCAGAAACGTCCAGATAGCCCGTAGAATATGATAATGGGCGTAAATCCCAGGGGAGGAGAGAGGTATCCTCGAACCCCTCTTTTTTGCACAAGGTAACAGGATCACCCCCAGTTTTTTTGTGCCAAGCGGACCTAAAACATATACTTATTATTATCTCACGCAATCTGTTAAGAGACAGAAGTAGTAAAATGTTAACTAAATAACACATCGACATAAGAGTTGGTTTCAGATCAGATAGACGGATGGATTACAGGATAGCATCACCGTGCTAGTATTGAGATGTTTTGCGTAGTTCGGATGACTTTTCAAAAATTCGAATTATTCCTACACCTTTCAGTTAGTATCGATTTGAAGAGCCAACCATAAATAACTTCATACGTTGTGTATTAAGTTTGGTTTTAATTAAAAGAGGGGGAAAAGATTTAGGCATAAATTTTTGTTAACCTTGTTTGTTGTATGATATATGACTTTAATATCAGGAAATTCCGTGGCATTGGGAAAACAAACATAGATGCTACGTAACCCAATTCTATTGGAATAGGGGGCTGAAGGACACCAGTGACAGCGTCACGTGGTTTCCAGCCCCCCCCCCCGGTTATCCCCCACCCCAACCCTCTCTCGCGGGCACAGACTTCGTCCCCTGAATTTGACACGAAATTCTCAGTGGTTCCAGCCAAATGTAGTGGTTTTTCTTTGTTTCCGGAGAAAAAAGTTCAAGCAATGATCAGTCTCAAATCAAGAATATTATTTTGCTGTGTTGTGGTTTATGTTGACCGAATTACACTCACTATTGACCAGAGCGAATAGTACATGTTGTTTGATGGAATGGGTCATGAATATGCTACGTCTGGTCTACCCCCAAAAACCTTGCAACAATTACACTGTAAGGAAGAGCACATCTATGTTGAAAAAGTGGGGATATTTATCTCATATTAATTACGGTATCTTACCGCACGAGGGCAAACTACACGTATGACTGTGAAAAGTTTCCTTTCATGGGAGACATGTTGTAATGTACCACATTTACAGAAATGTCCGTGAAGTAACATGAACACTTTTATGTGCATAATAATTTGCCAGCTTGACAAAGGGCCCTTTCCAACGAAAGCAAGAACATGTACAAAGGTATGGAAACAGCGAGCTAGTTACTCAGTTGCCTTGGCCATATAGTGTGGAAATCTTGTGACTTGTGTCGTGTGGTGTGGATCTAACCCAATGCGAGCCCGTCTGGTTTTTTTTTCTGTTGCCCAAACTTGTGCTCTTCCTTTTATTCCCTTCACGCCCTCTGATTTAAAAACCAAACGTCTTTTATATTAGAACACCGGTATGCATTTGTTGCATACTTGGAAAGAGATACTCTCAAGTTGTTTAATTTTGACTGACGACATTTGTAGTTTTTATTTCTTCGTGTTCTTCAGTTTCATTTGAGTTGCCATAATTATATTAATCCAAATAATTTGAATATTACGACTTGTTAATTAATGTGCTTAACAACATTGATGTTACATCTAACAGCACTGACGACTGCACATGAGCATGCAGTTCGATTTTTCCCGTTGATTGTTTTTTTCTCACGCAAACAATAATAGATTTCAAAATCCAGACTTCACTAATGGCAATGTCAAAATTGATTTTCATCCTGATGGCTAGACGACATTCAACAGCTATTAATCACTCCCAAAAATATCGAATTTCTGCAGTGTGGCTTTGCAAACCAGTCTTGATCGCTCATGTTTATCGTTAAGTCTGGTATGTGTTCACAAGATCTCCACTCGAGATCCACAGAAAAACAATACCCTATCCGATATAGTGACGATAAAGTGGCGCCATGCAATAGGGGGCGATTCACAATAGTGCGCCACCATGAGTTTGCAACGCGTTGGCCAATCACAGCTCGCGAAATTTGTCGACCCTTTCCGAACGCGCATTAGGTCGACAAATATCGCGCATTGTGATTGGTCAACGCGTTGCAATCTCTTGATGGCGCACTATTGTGAAACGCCCGTATTGATTTTTTTTTACTGAAAAAAAAGCGAAATACCTGAATTCTTCTCGTGACCCTAGAACAGTCTATAGAATGTTGGTGTCAGTTAGCTGACGATGTTACTCAGTGGATTTGAACAATGAACAGACATGGAACGATGAGTCACAGGCTTGATTTGGTGTCGGCAAACCGTCATGGGTCACATCATCTGTTAGCTGACACATTATCACCAGAAACAAACCACGATGCTATCACTGAATCCCTTGCTTTTTTGCTAGCTAGGTGTTACTCAAATGAGCTGGAACTCATCAACTTGAAAATATTATACAAACATATACATGGCCCTTTACCCTACGCCAGTCTGCGGGATCGTTAATACTGTTAGAATCTGTTTCCTAGCAATGTGAAGAAGGATGGGCCACTGCTTCGCTTGACCCCGCCCCCTACCCGGCACCCCCTAGCATGCATTACTAATGTGCATGCGTCAGTCAAACCTATATAAAGTGACCGGTCAATGAGGGCGCGGGGCTGCCGTTTAGGTAGGTATTTCTCACTTTTCCTATGCAGCTACAGACACAGTAACCAAACGGCGCAGCTCGCGAGGTAACTTTACGACTGGTCTGACGTTAATGCTTAGTCCAGTACCGCCGATGCCTTCACCGTGTGGCAATTCCCCTCCCCCACCCCGTGCTTATTATATCCCGGTTCGTCTTGCACGTGATGAACGCTGCCATTATGTTCAAGATTTGTTTTGTGTTGTTCCTTGTATATCGCAAAAGTTTGTATCGCAAAAATACGGTTTTCTGAAAGGAAGGACGAAAGAAACGATCGACTATTGTTTCTAACAATGGAAAATGTAGAAATTTTGATTGATTTAATATTGTACCGGTAATGCCTTCTCACAATGCATAAAGCATGATGTTATGTTAAATGCTTTCAAGTTATTTACTTTCTGAACAAGAAAAGCACCTTTTTATTGATTTATTTCAGTTTCGTGTTTGCTTTGCAAATACATGTACTGTGCATATATTTACATATTAACAGTAGATTCAAAGAATAGAATCTTAATTTCGACTGTGCGTTGCATAATTATGATCAAATTAAGGAAAGAAGTTAAGAACTAGATTGGACATTATTTAGAAAATTAAATAATAACTTTGTTGAACCAATAAGTAAACTGCCCATGACTAAATATTCCAGTACTAATCAATTTATAAGGAAATTTAACTGGAGGAATTAACTCTGCTATCTGCTAAAGATACAACATCTGTGAAAATTTCGTTTTTTAACTTAACCAAGACAGTTTTTGACGGGATTTCATCTATTACAGTTATATTACCCTTTTCCAGTTGACGATACGTATGTATAATTCAGCAGCACCCAATCTGATGTCCTTACCTTTGTAGACCATCATCGCGATAAACCATCCAAACCCCCTCCCTCCTCTTCGACGCAACACAGACAACCCTACAACGGACAAAACCACGGCAAGGGATACCAGACCAATGGAACAGTGAAGACAGACCACGGTGGAAAAGGTGCGGCGTGATTTCGGTAGTAGAGCGCCTACATCTATTTGTAAATCAGACTTATTGCAGGTTAAGTATTGGGGTACACAGTGTACTTTCTTCGCATTTCCCTCTGTAACTGGAGAAGGACTCGACATATCAGCTTTAAAGTTGGTAAACAGATTGGTCTTAGAAGTTTGTTTTGGTTGGACCCCAAGGCTCAAAGGTCACTTTATGGTTAGAACAAAGAAATTGGTTTTCCTACCGTGGTTCCGTAAAGACGAAACACATTAATCTCGAACCTTATTTATTGGTTCATCTTGATAAATTTGGACTTTATCGCTTAAAGTCATAAATTACACCTGTATGGATTTAACAATGGGCTTACCGGGGCATTTGTGATCGATAACACACCTGTTTATTAAAGTTTGAATCGCTTCGCCAGTAGCAAAGTTTCGGTCATTACATAACGACATGACTTTTGGGCCTCCTAAAGACCCAGAAGATTCAAAGAAAAGTGATTGCATTTTAGAAAACCTGGACGAGTGATATAAGGCTGTCGCTCAGAGATACTCCAGTTCTATATGCTCGTATGGCAACGCCTTAAAGCTGCATTTCGTCACATCCAAGACCATTGGGAGTGACTTTCGGTAAACTTTCAAGGGGCTGTTATTTGGTCTGAAGTGTATCTAAATCAATGTAAACTGTGCGATTTGAAACTCAAGTTGAAGACACAGCTAAGGGAACGTATGCTATAGTACCCTGCAGGTTTCTCCTGTGGGACGTTTCACGGGTAAATATCAAAACATGGCGCTGAAGGAAGATGTTCTATCGTCGGAGATACGGGCACGCTTACCATGCAGTTCATTTTAATGTAAACTCCCCCTCCAACGGCCTGTGTCTTTCTAGTTATCGACCATAATGCGAATCACACAGCTAAAGATGGGAGTCCCCTAAAACGCCAGCCGCCCAAATCCTCCCCAACCACAAGTGCCAGCAGCAAACCGTCAAGCATCAGTACATCTGTTAAAGTCACCGTGACTACCAAACACCCCTCCGGCAGCAAACAAGGCCAAGGCAGCAAGGAGACAAAGACCAGCACGCAGGAGAACAAGACAGCAGCGGAGACGAAGAAGCAAGTCAGTAATGAACAGATCATACAAACAAACAGGAACGTCATGAGTAGAAAAACTACATTATAAGCCATTATATAAGAAATCCGTTACTGATGTCCTGTATACAATAGTGTACTTGGGTGTCTCTGGCATCCTGAGCAGAGGCGTCACCCTTGCGAACCTGATTATTATTAGGGCATACGTTGCTGCTTTTGGTAAAAAGGATTCAACTCAAGTCATTTCTTTAACCCTAAAAGAAAGAGTTTATTTTGGTCCATCTCACCAGAACTCGGCTGTGCCTCGCTCGATTTCTTTGAATCTTGGCGTGCATTACAACACGCTTTTGTTATTATTATAAATGTGAAGTTTGAACTCGGTCGAACGTATAAACCATAAGCCTGGTTTCCAAATGGTCGTTTGTAAGGCAGACGGAACGCAAGACGTGAAGATGCAGACTTAAACGGAAGAAATGGTGCATGTCATCATTCCACCCAAAAATTGAAACAAAATGGCGGCCGAAACTGTGCATTGTGATTGACCTACCGTCTCATGATGCCAACCCTCTACTCCAGTCTTTATGCATTTTATTGACGGTCAGCTATTTAGGCCGTTTCCCAGTACTCAACTTCGTCTCCCTCTCAGGCTTCGTCCCCGAAACTAATCCCCAATTGTGGGCCTGAAGCGTTTTAATTAAATTTAATTACTGTAAGTTGTTGCTCTCTTACATCTTATTTGATGTTTTGTGGCACTAATTAGTGCGCTTACAGCTTCAAAGTCAGCTAGTAAAAAACAGTTGAAGCCTGAGACGGAGCCGAAGTTGAGTATTGGAAAACGGCCTTATATAGTTGATCACTGGGGTGTAATATTTAAGCATTAAGGAGAAAATGCGCTAAATTCGCAGAGCTAAGCAAGAGAGACATCGTTGCATGCCGGTCATGCCAGCATGCGTGTTTGTATGGGGATACCACGGCTACTCAACGCAGACAGTCGGCAAAATTGTACCTTGCTCAACTTTGCCGATCGTTCGAGGGCTGGTTTGCGTTCGTCTGCGTTGTCGGCGACACCTCCGTTTGACATGTTTCCATTTGTCCGCGTTGCAGTTTGCGTCCTCATAGCGTTACTCTGCATTTCTTACGTCGATATGGAAACCAGGAAATATGCTCATTTGAAGTTCAAGGCTACATGCGTGCCATCCCGAGTGCTTTAAGCACCACTGTGGAAACAGTATACATTTTGGGCTGACGTGTTCCACGCAAATGCTCGCTGCACAAGAACAGTTTGTTCGGTTTTCGCAAAATTGGTGTCGAAATGACTGCAAAAAGTAACTCTAAAAGCTCCTGAAGGCTCACCTCCTAAAGGAATTGCACTGCGGCGGTATTGGAAAAAAATGTTGATGGGCGGATTCCGCAACCCCGACTCTTTTTGGGTTGGCGAATCAAAACATTCTTGAAGTTTTATAAATATAATTGTTCTTGCGTTCATCCGTTTTATTCCCATTCCTACAACCTATCTGTCTCTCCGAAGTTTGAAACCAGCCCCTAAGGAGGACGCTATTATTTTGGAACTGTATTTTAATTGGATAGATTTAATTTACCCGTGTTTAAATAAAATTAACAGCAAATCATACCAGAAGCCGATCTGATAATTGACCTTTATCGTTCGTAGACTCGACTTGGAGCACATAATTTCTTTAAATGCAAACTATGACCTTTTTGTTTCGTTTACAGCCAGAACCGAAGAAACCAGTGAAGCAGCAGCCCCAAAAGACCCTGTCCCCGGACAGGACCACGGAAAAAGCCCGGCTGTCACCCAGTAATGTCCGGGCTTCCAAGCCCAGGAACGAGCCCAGTATTTTCCATTACACTAGCACAAACCCAAGCTCTAAGCGAGCAGGTAGGTGGGTCCCATCAGAACCGCTGTCGACCAGTCGGCGAAGGATCCGTAAAAGTGATCTGTACCTGTGCTGCACAGGGAGACTTTGAGACGCTCAGAAGGTGGCGGCAAACATACGGGCGTATGTTTGCCGCCACCAAGCGCCTCAAAGTCTCCAATTCATGTAAATGCATTCATTTTGTGGCTCGGTCAAGAACTCCCGGGACTGTGAGAAGCTGTTGTTTGACGATTCCTAATGCTCTTTGTTAATGCACTGGATATTTATTTAAACTGTATAGTCTCTATTGTCTGAATTTCTTATGTTGGTTACAAGCTAAAAACAGAACTAAAGTCAGTTACAAAAAAAGCAATCTGTTTTTAACCCTTTAATTTTTAATTCCCTCTGGCAAATAAACTTCACCCAGTTTCAAATCACCACTTGGTACCTAGTGTCATACAAACAGCTGTAATGTTATCGCGTAATCTTGCCATGTATGTTAGATCCGGGAAAAAAGAAAGCATTTGATAAGGGAGCAAGTACGTCCAAGTCAGCACAGAACCTGAGCATCTACCACGATAAACCTTCGACATCTTCTGTGATTAGACGCTCGTCGGCTGAGCTCTATGAACCACAAAACATCACTCTGGAGAGGTAACCTTTAACACGAGAACGCTTAGCTCTCAGTAGAATGCACTTGGAAAGTAATGAATTTTGAAAGGGATCAACGTTCCATATTAGCAAGGTCAAAATATCAGTTGCGAAATTATTAATCAATTTGCACCAATTTCCCCTGTAAAAATATTGCTCCAGATGTTTACTCAACACGTCACGGTGCAGAATAAATGAACTGGCTTGCTGGTTTCAGCTGTCAAATTTGGATTACTAGGTTCGTTGCACAATTATTGAAGCTGATAATTTCCTAAAGTCCCTCGTTTTTTGCTGGTTTGCAAGTAGACTGTGTGGTGCGTTCGTTGCAGGTTGACTGAATAGTCGGCTGGTTTGGTACCAGAATGTAATTTTTCAATAGAATTCATTCTACGAACCTTGATTTTTACAGGAGAAGAGAAACCTGGAGCGAAACCCAGAAAAGTGCAGCCGTCACTCAAACGAGGCAACCAATCGAGGTTGAAGTGATAGACACAGGTATGCAGAGAGTCGCCTCGCAAGTAGGCCTATTAAATGAATGCGACTTACATTAAACGTAGTTGCTCATGGCTTCTGATTCTGTGCTTCTACAGAACTCGACAAATTATTTTTCCAAACTGCTATAGATTCGATGAAACGGCCACCGTAGCGAAGTCTGATGTCCAGTTGATCATTTAAATGAAAGATGTGCAGTTATTGCATCCTTTTGCATTGATCGTTTTTGTTTGTTTTTTTTTTTTTAGTTTTTTTACTTTCGCATAGGGAATTGAAAAAAAGCTGTAAAAATCATTGCAATTATAGATTTATTCCTGTGTCGTAGTTTCTAGACTGTCCATGACCTTTAGTCTGAGCCTTTTGATACACAACGATTGTTAAAGCTGAGAGCGGACAAACTGCCTACAGGGGTGAAGAAGCACTGTATTCAGAAACCCAAGTCAAAGATATCGCGCTGCGATTACTGCGTTCTGGTCAGTGGGCAGTCTCCTTAGGTATACGATGCCTCGTACTGACTGGCATCTGTGGCAGAACGCTTAAGTAACATGCCCGGTAATAATCTAACGGGTGTCTGCGTTTTGTGTCAATGTGAACATGTCGCGCAGCAAACCACTTTGTCGTTACCGCCTGTCTTTTATGTTGTACCCTTGGCTGCAACACTGGTCCAGTGAAGCAACTACCTCTGCTCGACAACCAAATAATTCATAGTATTATCATTGTTATGATGCTTTTGTCATCGTCATCTTCGTCATTGCTGTTGAAGAAGACCTTTATTAACAATCACCTCAGCTAACAATGCACTACTAATTAACATCACTGTCAGTGTCATCGACGTCAACGTCAGAAGCATCGTCCTGAGAAAGCTGCCTGGCCTTTCTCCTTTTTTTACTAACAATCTAGAAAAAATACTCGGAACAAGGTTTGTCGTCACAGCCAAGTTACAAAAACACTTGTATCACTACACATGTAGAACAAAGACGCAATGAGGATTAAGTAATGAAACTCGTATACTCGGATAAGATCATGTTCGATGCAGCCCATTCGTTTTATCTGTGAAAAGCACTATTTCCCACGTATCCTTTGAGGGTTTTTTTTTTCGTTTAGGACGCGTTAGCTTAATGACATTTCCTTGTAGTATCACGGCAGATGTGGGCAAAACTGATTTTTTTTTGGTTTCGAGCCGGCTTGGGCGATGCCAATAGTTTTCGTGTCTGTGAGAGTAATACCAAAATGGAAACATTCCTAAGTTTCTTTCCTTCAGTGGCGTCTTTGATATTGCTGTAGTCACCTTTCATCACCTGCATCAATGTTGCGATCACCACCTTCAGTAAGCTTACAATGCCACCCTGTATTGTTTTTATTGGTGACCGGTATTATTGCAAGCCTGGAGCTGCAGGCAGCTCCATACTGCCGCTTTAATATATGATAAAACTGAAGTTAAACTGGTTTTGAATACCCTCGAGGTGTAGTCCAAGAGATCATGTCATGTTATCATCAAGTTTTCACAACAGTCTTTGCATCCTCTGTATCCCTTTTATCTACTGTTATCTTTGTGTTGCCATTTTTAATGTTTCTGATGCCGTCTGGATTTAATGCAAGTGTAAATTTTAATATTCATAAGCAAAACATTGATGTCACCTCGTAGCCAAATTCGGTGACATGGTAACGCTATCACGTATCATTTGCACTGCCCCCCGCTAATGGCAATAAGCTTTGTGAAAAATATCCCATAATGACTTTTCTGTGACAGTAACTCCGTGCAAAACCCTCCACACAGTGCTTTCCGCCATTAAAGGAGGCCATCGGGAATGTTCAGCGACAGGTCCAATTCGATCAGCGACCGTCAGTAAACCACTGATCGATTTCGTCTGATTTAAAACCAGGATATACATTTGTGCGCTGATTAGTGATTGCTAAGGAGAATCAACGAGGGGTCGATAAATGGTAGCCGATCGAACATGGCCAAAACATCGCTGGATTCTCCAGATTTGCAGTTGCCTTAGAATCATCGATGATTTCAGAGTCTGGGAGTTGTCACCGTCAGAATTCGTTTCCAGCGTTTCGTTTATGATTCTACACGTGACAGTCAGCCCATGAGCCAACGTAAAGCATGAATATACGATTTTTGGTTGGCACTTGAAACAGAAAACCCAGAACAGATTTTGTACCCGAACGAACACCACAGCACCCTCAGTTGTCAGGAACGGCAGGTAGCAGTGTTGAAGAGAGTGCAGAGTATAGAATTATCTAGGATAAAAAGTGGTGCCCCGTGAGTTTCATAGGCTTCAGGTGAATAGAGACTCGCGCGAAATGTGTTTCAGCGTAAATTCATGCCACGGCGTCATTAAAGGACATGATTAATAAACATTACTGAGAATTACACCAAACCAGTAATCGAAGGGCCCCGTCGCAACGAAAACCCATTGTTTACACAAGGTTAACTGTTCACGTGCGTGCTGCATTTATTGCATAAAACCTGGGAACTGTCGCCTGGGCACGTGGAAATATTCAATACGTTGACACTCGGATTGATCACATATCGACACGTCTTGTTCTGTAGAACAAACCGGTACTTAGTAGGTAGGATCAGCACATGCTGGATGCTCTGCCATCTGTGTGTACGTAACTGGCTACTCGAGCGTTGACACTGACTCGGGGACATCTGAAGGATACCTGGTACATTGTTGGTTTGGGCGTTACAAGACTGATGTTCGTTTTGTGCATGTACCATGGGTTATCTTATGACACGTCTGAAACTGATTTGTTTACTCGTTGGTTCAAAAATGCGTTCATGTTACAAGGAGGAAAAAAGTGATGCGTTCGTTTGGCTGTTAGGTTTGACAATGTAACAAATGCAAATTTGCCCTCTCGTCCACTCATGAATCTAATCTGTTTTCTATAATAAACGATATCCATGATTTCATGTGGATAACAAAGGCATGCAGGCAATTAATTTGACATTTTTAGTAGCTATTTATGAGATTTAAATTAATTTAAGGTGCAATTACGTTTAAATAGCCACTCGTAGGCCGTGTCCAAATCACTTGGCTACGGCCGGAAATTACACACAACTCTATTGGAACTGGTCACGGCTACTACCATAGACTCGTATGTAATTTCAAGCCGCAGCCAAGTGATTCGGACACGGCCTTAAAATAAAAGCAAACCTAAAAATGCCGCGCGAAAAGATGAAATATACAAGCAGGTACAGATGTTGAGAAGATTAGTTCAGAAAATGTATTTGAGCGTTTGTCTTGTCTTAGTTTACATATAATCTTACTTGTCGGACATAACTAAGATGCTAACGAGGTACTGACTCGTGGCGGGTGGGTTGGTGGGTTAATCCACCTTAAGCAGAAGCACTCCCTCATCGGCTGAAAAGAGCCGTGTTAGTGGGGGGTGTTAATTTTGTTGGTCGCGATACGACCGTAACGTGTGCATTTCATAGTCGTTTGTGAACCAGTGAAGTGCAGTTCCCACCATGGAGCCTCCGTTGCTGAGACAATTGTGCCCTTATTGGGCTCATATGGAAGTTTACTTTTTTGCTAGCGTAGTTGGCAGGCTTGCGTGCTGGTCAGTTGACTAAAGCTGACGCCAGACAAGGCTTACCAGCCGGCTAGCTTACTAGCTGGTTCGCTGGTCTGGTGACTTGGTTAGGTTATCTGGTGGGTTCGGTGATTGTAAACTGTTGCCTTCGTAGTCCTACCATTGTGTTTCGTCGTAGGCGTCACACAGACGACAACTACAAGTTTGCACGAGACGAAGTTCCGCCTAATTTGATTTTCCTCAGCACAATATTTCTAAAGGGTTTGTAAGTATGCGGGCACGAACCTTGAGGCCGTCCAGCTTCTTCAAAGTGAGCCAGTTTGAATAATAGCTCTGTCACAATTGTCGTTGATCTGTTTGTAGCAAATGTAATCTCTCAGCCAGTCAGCAAGTTATTATCTTTCTGCGACGATAAAAATAAACACTGTCTAACTTTGGCGACGATTGCAACAACTTCATTACTGAAAGCTGCAGTAGGCCGAGCCGTAGGACAAGGGGCGGTCCTCGCCGTGTCTACCAAACCAGAGGGAAACCGGACAGCTGCTACAGAAAGTTATTTTTGAAGTCAGGTCGCCTGCGTTCCAGAGGGGTCATTGAACCCGACCTATTCTGGTTGAACCCTTCAGTCCATTGCTACTTTGTCATCTAGGGCATCCTCAGCAAATCTCGTCGGCAGAAACTTGTTACAAAGCAACAGCCTCGTTTTTGGCATTTCAGAACATAGGAGGTTGAAATACTTACATTTGTCATAGAAAATCGAATTGATTATTAAAGTCCAATGCTCAGTTTCTTTATTGCTTTGCCCAAAAGCTCCATACTTCATATGTGATTTGTTATCGAAGTATATTTTTTAGTTTGGCTTTCCTGCATTATTTAAGCTTCACACTGGAGATGAATTGCCCTTTATTTACTCTCTTTTATTATTTGATAGATTAAGTACTTTGAAATGGAATATGTAATGCAGTTGTCTCCGCTTCGTAAATTTCATTTCAATACACAGTGGTACAAGGGTGCGTCCTATTTCTTAGGTTGATACTAGGACTTGTTTTAAAGACATAACATCGCAATATTTTCTGTCACAAAATGGGGAAGAAAACATAGTATAATCGTCGAAGCAGGAGGAAGAAAGAAAATGGGACTGTCGTTGGTGTTTACATTTGTTTTATGCATCGTTGTCTTAAAAAAAAAGAATACAAGACTCAAAGTTGGACACTAAGTAGGTTTTGGTGTTTGTACATGTAGCTTATGCACAATTTGGTTATCATGGATTTTATGTTCCAAGCAGCTTATTCCCGGTATAGGCCGCCGGAGCTCTTTCATCTGAATATAAGGAAGCTTTTGGAACCAAAAGGGTAAGGAGTTTGGTAGAGGAAAATCGTGAGCCCCACACCTGACTTGCCCATGATCTGAGGAGAATCTTTGTAAAGTATTTCCATAACGTACAAAAACGAGGGGGTAAAACAAACGCCCCATTTAATGGGATTTTAAAGCAATCTGGCATTTTTACCGTGTGGTGTGTTTCTATTTGATCGCATCATCGTGTTTGACTTTTCCTTGGGTTCGAACCTCCCGTGTGTGTATTCATTTGGGGTTCTCCCCTCTTCTTTCTTAATGCAACATCAATATTTCAGGGGGAATCGCACAGCATCCCATTAGACTGGTAATGAGTCATTCTTAATAGATTGCAGTCATTCCTCTAGGCACTTCGGGTAATAAATAATAACCGTGAACTCTGCATTTTTCACGGGTAATTCTAGGATACTTTTTCGAGTAACCAAGTGAGAGTATTGCTCGATATAAATTGAGGTAGGCCTAGGTGCTGACACAAAGACAAAATCGCTGTACCAATGGCTTTAATATAAGGTACAATCTGTGGGGAAGCAAAACGAAAAAGTTAATGCATTTTTTTCCGTAGGGATACTGAAACCGAATAATCTGGAGCTTGTTTAAAGATTTCAGTAAATAGACTGAAAGTTGTCCCTTGATGGTGCGCTTCCAGAACCCTGTAGGAAAAATTCTGTGCAGAAATTAGAATTTACAATTATTATTCGTGAATTTATTTTAGAAAACGTTCCTTCAAAAAAGGCATCTGTAAGCAAATTTGCCAGGGTTTTGATGTAGAGAAACTGAAAAATTGCCTGACCTGAAAAGAAATATTGTGGCAAAAAATAATGTTTCACTTTCAAAACTGTATGTGATGACCTGTGCCACTTGATGTACTTGTAAGTACACAAATAATCATGTAAATACAGGAAGTTACAACAAACGTGCATTAACAAGGAAACCTGGGGACAATGATGGCAGAAGTAAGAGATCGTTAATGAATTTCCTTTATACCCATCTTCAAGTGAGCTGTTACTAAGAGTACTTGAAGAACAAAAAGATAAATGTTTATTGGGGTGATTTCAGTTTAAAATCACTCTTCCAAAATTTGGCGGTCCCTTGTAAAGTCCTCACAGGCGGGCCACGCGAGGGTTCCGGAAGCTCGCTGTGTGACCCTTTACCACCAGGCTCTATTTTAAACACGGGGGGAGGGCACGGACGCACTGTATACTAGGTGTTACACGTCCCACGCCGCCCCGTAGTTACTCTACGTCTTTCTGCTGGTACTTAAGTGTCCCGGATGAATGCTGTTGAAGTACGCCATTTGGAGCCGCATGCGATGTTACGAATATAACGATTCGTCCCTCCATCGTCACAAGTTACCATCCGTTCCATACACGTGACATTGAAATTCCATTTCAATAATCCGAACGGTTGTCGTATATTGCAGGACTACCTTTAAGCAAACCAGTGTTGATTAAATTGATGTTATCGATAATCGATGGTGATCCTTTTCCCTTGCATGCCTGGTTGTAGAAGTTCCCGAGGAATAGAGCTGCGCGCGCCGCGGTCCGCTATACCATATACGGTACCTAGACCGCTCCCCGTCGGGCGATGCTGCAGCACTGTGTCACGCATTATTTATCCGCGGTTGGTGCGGTATGCGGGGTCGGGTGCCGCGGCGCTGGTAGTATAGTGCAAAGGGCACTACAACGTCTGCTGTCGCGCGTAGGTACAGACTCATTAGCATTATATTATATCAAAACTAATACCGGCCCGTACTCGGCCCATGTTTTTAATTGTCAGCTCGTCTCTCACACAGGAAAGGACGACGGGGCTCGAGAGCCCGAGCGCAGTCAACCGAAGGAGCAGACCGGAGACAGCGCGCTGCTCAACGGTGGCCACAACACTGAAAGGTAAGTCCAACCCCTAACCTCCTCGTAGTCTGTCTGAGATGGGTAGGATGAATCATTTACGCACCTAAATCATTCCTTGCTAACCCTTTTCCCCGGCCAAGATGAAATTGATATGGCCCTCGTTACTCCTTGAAATGATGCTAGACACATGCTCGGTTAAGGTCAAAGGTCTCTCTTAATTATGATTAATCACCGGGTTCCGTTTAACTGCGAATCGTAATCATACATGACATCCCTGCCCTGCAGATATGGAATTGACTCAGATATTCCATACCTGTTTGATATCATTCGCTGATTACGCGCTGTTCTTTCCTATTGGATCTGACAATCACAACTGTGTTCATGTTTCCGTTTGGCACTTGTTACAGATAACATTAAACATAATAGACAACTTCACTGACAGTTTAAATTAGTGCAGTGAGTATCCATGCGATAATTCGAAGTCACTTTTTAAAAAGGGGGGGGGGTAATCCTTTAGCTGTACCGGTACACCTTTTGTAAGGTAAAGACATTCCACTATGATGAACAAGCATACACAGAGAGGCGCGTACCGTGCTAGCGTTTGACTCCGTTTAGGCATAGTTAACGTGTTTGAAGACGCTACCAACGGATCACATCGCATGTTGCTGAAACCAGGCGGTTGCTAATTACAGCAGTTATCCCTTTTGCCCTGCTTGGGGCGCTATTAAAAAATCATGGGAATGAAATTTCATTCGCCCTCGATAATGGACTTTTAGTGAATGATTTCTCCCGTAATCTGGTTTGTAAGTGACTTCGTCACAAAGGCGGACGCCCACGATTTGCAGGCTCCCATTGGACGATCGCTGAAGTTGCGCGTTAACTTCCGGTTCCACGGTTCCATGTAAACGGCGATCAACATGCATGTAACTCTATGTGCAGTGCATGTGCTATGAACGCGATTTAAATTCAAGTGACGTCATATTTACGAAGCGGATACTCATGTTGTAACCTTTGAAGGAATTATCTTCTCAAACTATCATCAGAGTCTGCGACACGAGGTCTGTTGCAGCATGGGTTACAGCATATACGCTACTAGACATTGAAAACAAGTATGTAAATTTAGGTCTTGTTAAAGAAACAAAATGCAACTCATGACCTCTGGAATTTTGCATCTTGCGGAGTTTTCATCATTATTATTCCAATTCCAGTAGTCATGTATTTAGTATTGTTTGCTGGTGGTAGGCTTATCTTGATTTATTTTGTGAATTTTCTGGCCGTTTTATTATCACAGTTATTTTTTCAAGTTTTTTTCACCTGTTCATATGCATGTAAGGGTTGTGGGGCTTCTTTCTCGACCACTCCATAACCAGCACCCGATCTAACCGTCAGTGACATTGAAATTGCTGTTCAAGCACGTTCAAGCGTCACGTCCTTGAGGGTCGTATCCGGGCGCAAAAGAAAAAAAGTATGAGGGGGAAAGTCTTTGGTCCAGATGGGAGAAGACATTGAGATGGTTAACCCAGGTTGAGAATGCAGACAAAATATGCCATCATTTGCATCCAGGTTGCAAAGACGTAAGCGTTGCATACAGCCAATTAGTTTCTACATATAATCGATTTTGCTCTCAGTAGTTTTTCCATTAACTGTAAAGGTGATCAGTTGATAATTCAGGGGAAAAAAGTCACCTCTGTTTTCGATTTCATTTGCTCTGACAAATGACATCTGACATCAGAGTGCATAGTGCTCCTGTGTACAAAACTTAACATACAAATTTAGACCTCAAGATTGTAAAAGCTTTTACATTATTGTTGTCACAATCAACTTCTGTTAGCGTGCATCCTTCATTTGGAATAATGAGATATATTTTTGACATGTCCAAAGATTTGTTTTGGATTGTCCATATTTCTATAATTCAAATAAGCAATACAGTTGGCTCAGCAAGAGAAGAATGTTAAGTTAATAGTTTATATGCTTCATCAGTTTGTTTACAAGTGGCTGGACGTGTTGATTTAGCATGTTAGTGTATGCCAGGGTCAGAGGCTCTTGCAAAGAGGAGAATTTTAATTAACACACATTCGTTTTTTGCATCCAGCTCGCCTGGGCAGGCTTGTGGCAAATGGTGACTTCTCTGATATTATTGGTATGCGCCCCACATTCACTCACTCATCTAAAGGGCCTCTCCGCACATCTGGTGGTAGGTCGCCTAGGGTGGTGAAGTTAAAACCCGTCATGGGTCGGGTAATTGGCGCACACGTCTTCCTCAGGCATTTTTCTTCGATGGGAGATGTGGGCTCCCCTTCCGTACCGTAAATCACGTCCCGTCGCCTGCCAATTTGACGAGGAGCACAAAAATGATCGACTCAGTGCATGAACTGCACGCACGGAACGTTTCGAGATGTTGTTTGCCCTGGTTATTTCCTCGGTGTCTGGTACATGCTACATGTTTACAAGTACTTGAAAGTGTTGTATAATGTCTTAAAAGCAGACAATAGATGCATGCTGAGTGCAAATCAGATTTGAGTATATTAACGGGTATTTTCATATCAAGTCAGATTTTTGTTTGGTGTCTTTTATTTTGTTTGCTCTGTGTTCATGTGAAAAGGGCGCTGAACATGTCCATAAAATGTCCTTTTAATGATGTAGGATTATGAGGCTGGTTTTCCACAACGGAACGGTATTCATCTCTTCCCTTGTGGTCTTTTTCTAGTACCCCGAAGGCAGGACGATAACTTTGAGTAAGGCAAAAAGCAAACGCCAGTGTGGACCTTTTTTCCCTCATTATGCACGCCGTCAAACACAACGGCAAAAAGACATAACGGATGTCAAGCTATGAAACTTGTACCAGTTTTTATGTCGTTGTATAAGAAGCGAAGGGTAATAAATACCCCATTTGCAAAACAAGCACCAACTGTAAACCTATATTTTCTGCCAAAGAAGATTGATTCTCCTTCGAACAGGGGTCTGGTTAATCACAATTTTTTTTTATTAGTGATTTTTCTTCTTCCTTGACATCCCCTGTTCATTTGTTTAGTCTTTAATGTCAGAAGATGTACAATCAATAAATCAAATGAGTAATCAGCATATTCCGTCTACTATGCTGGTAAGTTCATGTTTCACCGCTGCGTGGTATTCGCTCAACAAGCTAAGGGATCATTACGTGTCTGCGTAGCAGCTGAACTCATTATCAGAGGGGGGTCTGTTTGTGCTTGCTTGCTTGGAGCTAGGCTAATTCCCCTGCACAAGCACGTTATATTGGGGGATAATACGGAGCTTTCGAAAGTCATGTACCAATTTTTTACTCCTCTGGAAGGGAGGCGAATTGGCACATGTACAGATCACACTGAAAGCGTCAAACGACTGTAATTTCACGCTGTTGTTAGATTAGCAATCCGTTTCATGATGGAAAAGCGAATTTGCGGTCTGACAAATTGGCCTTTCTGTTCGTACTGGGGCCAACACACAACCCGGGAGGAAGTGCCGCCCATCAATTATAGATTTCGTTTGCAGCGAGTTTCCATGGCGATAAAGAGACAGAGACGTCACGGTTGGGGCAATCAAGCGTGGGTTATTAATGGTCTTCATCAAGCAGCATCCCCGCGTTTCAGGTGAAATAACATATAAGCCTTCGGCTGTACAGGATGCTAGGATGATTAATCTGAACTCCAACTGTGAAAACGTGAAAGCTATTGGCTTACATCTCTACACTGCACAACTCGAAGCAAGGACTAGACTTCTAGTTAGCCCCTACAAAAATCCATGCACATAATATACACAACCACAGATAAGCTTTAATCTGAAAATAAAGGAGCAAATTCTAAGGTTATCCTCTCTAGATTTCTGTTGAAATACAATCTATTTGTTTTATTGATAAGAGTTAAACATCAAACATGTTTTTTTTTAAAGAACCGAGTCCCAAAAGCATGTTCATCTTCTTTTCCCTTGCAGAACAAAGGAGACTTCAAAATCACATTAGGTCACGGCCATTTATATCAGAGTTGGTTATCTCGAACCTTCATGAACAGAGAAGCAGTACAGTTTATGCGCAATCCTGTAGAACAAGTGCACCAGCAAGACCTTAGTCAGTTTCAACCTTTTTTTAAGTACTCGAATTCAAGTCATCATCTTTTCAAAGAGTGTTCCATTTAAGAATCAGAAATAAGCAAAATCGAATTTAAAAGCTTGCCAGAACAAGAACTGGTTGGAAACCTTTCCATGGACATCGGTGCGTATCTTGTTCTATGACGGGAATAGGTATGGCATGAACTGGTATAGTGGTCATGTGAATCAGGATTGGAAACTCAGTCATCCAGTACTGTCCTGTACTGTTCATTTTTCAGCGTGTAGGGTGGGGCCCTTCCGTAAACTTTACAAACTTTTCTCAAAGCGTTTTTTATATACTATGTATCCATCTGCAGATCGATGGGCAGGGAGTAAAGATAAATTCTGAAGAGAAAAAATGAACGACCGTTTGACTGTTTCACTAATCCATGGCTTGTCATCCGGTCCCACGATGCAGAGAATGTCAAAAGGGGCTAGTTCGATTAACGACCAATAGTTAACTAGTGGTTGGTCCTTGAGGCACCTAGCGCATGTGCAGTGAAGTTGAAGTGGGAACGACCCTAGTCAACCGTTGTCAGGTCATTAGGCCGAAGGGTAGAGAAAGTGGCCACGGGAAGGGCAAAATAGCAAAAATGGTGAAAACGGTCTTTTTATAGTAGTGACATACTGTCTTTCCGGCATTTTTCTTATAACTGGGCCTCCATGCACTGAGCTAGTAAAACGGTTTATGGCAACCAACGATGCCACCAACCTCTACAGGCCGGTCGCAAATAGTTGACTAGACAAGTTGACTAGACTAGACATTCGATCAGAATTAGTCGAATTACGATTAACTATGGTCAAGGTTTATCCAGAGTTGAACCCATTTAATGTGTTTGCTCCCCTTCGTCAGGGTTGGTGGCGTGCCGAAACTGTGGGTGCGGAAACCGCAGTTGGAACCGGGCGCGGGCACTAGTCTGGAGAGTAACTCTTTGATGCAGGTCAACCTGAAGGCAGCCATGTACACAAGAATGTTTGCTGGAGATCTGGGGCCAGGGCAGATCATCGATCCCGAGACGCCAAGTATGTCTAACGAGCATGACACATTACGCTATTAAACGATAATGCATTTCGCATTTTGACTAAATTACAGCTAATGTCGCAAGTGAACTAACAAAATATTTCAACCAAGGCAAGAAGTTTACCTGATGTGATACCAACGAACAAAGCAATGTACCAGGTGTCCTCAATGCGCACCAGAGATCTACTTTTTCGTTTTGTTTGGTTTTGCTTTTATATGTAAAGCATTAGGGCCTGCTGTTGTTGGCAAGGCTGCCTGTGTGCTGTGTATTTTGCAGCGGGTGTCCAAAAATCATATTTTGTCGCCTACAAAGTGTGGTTTGTCTTTGACTGACTCATCACCGGTTTCCGACTGATATGTCAATGCCAAATACAACTGGGAAACTATTGGACTCGAGGTTGCGACAACAGTCGGGTTCCACTTACGATAGTTCAGAAGCGGTGAGCGCATAACACAGAATAATTTCTTTGCACGTGCTGCATGCTGAGGTATACAGTACAGAATAATATCGCAATATGGAGTCGGTTTTGTTGTTGCCAAACTAACTGTCAAACATGTATCAATGCCGTCCAAGTGGTTTGCAGTGTTCGGAGAGCTCAATTCCTTCCTTCATCTTTTCGTGCCGCTGTCTGCTTATTGCTGCCCAGGGCAATCTGATTTACTCCTCAAGAAAGGTAGGGTGCCTCTGCATAATTAAAAGATACCTCAGTAGTTACTACATACATGCAGGCGTGGATCCACACATTTGTAGCTCGAAGGATATGTTCCAAGCAAGGACGTGCACAAATCACACTAAAAAGGCCGTGTATCCAAGGATATGAAGCACAATTTCACCAACTGAGCATTTTCTGCTCTCAGGAAGAAAGTATCACCAAAGTCCCTGCGAATGAAAAGGTCCGACTAAAAGCCGAAGTGCTGCTCGTGCGCCCGTTGGTTGACACTGTGAATCCTGGAGCCAATGAGGGCCATGCCCTCCACAAAAGAAATATATACTTTCCTTTAAAGAAACCTATTTTGGGGGCAAATCGTAGGAAGCCTAAATCTGGCGCCATTCCTCAAAAAGAATTAACGGTAACATGAGAACTCTTTTTTTTTCTTCAAAAACACAATATTGGCCTTCACGGAAAGTTGGCTCTGGATCCGTCCTTTTAGGCCTATTGAAGGGGGGGTCCTCTTTAGGTAGAGGTAAATTTCAGCTGCAAAAGCTCACCAGTTGGATCCTCGCCTGTATGCTGGGTCCTCATCAACACTTCAGTTCACCTCGAAACAATATTTAGTGTTTAAAAACGTTCATGTGGCCACAGTAGGAGTATTTTCATGCACGTGCCGAGTGCTGTATCGTTCTGTCCTATGTCCTAACGTTTCACTTCATCTTTTACAATGTCAAACGTTGCGTTAGCAATATCACTGCATACATATTGTTTAAAATACAGTTTTAAAGTAATCTGTCATCGCTTTGAAATACACTAGTTTTAATCATATTAAAATGTTTTTATTCGATAAACGTTGCATCACTGTTTTACCATCATCTGTAGAGAGAAACGTCGCTGCACGATCTGTATACACCATCTGCCAATTGTCATTATGTTTTAACATGTAATTTTAGAGAATTCAATATTGTAATCGAAACTCGGCTCGCTGTTAAAAATGCACGTGAAGTAGTGACTTTGACAAATTCTCTCTTCTCCGAAACTCGCAGAGACAAAAAGGAGATATAGTGTTGTGTCCGACGCATGTTGGTGTAAATTCCAATTATTGTTGGTCTTCGGGTTTGAGTTGTCACTAGGCTACTGAGGAACATTCATAAACATAAAGTGGCTTGCGGTGATACGCACTTCGTGCACCAGGCACTGTATCGATGCCGAGACCGTTAACATTAAATTGTAAACTCCTTGAGCCCAAAGCAGTGACCATGCAATTGTAACCGCCATTCGATTTGGCGATGTTGTCACATTACAGTCACTCGTGAGTGTACTCCTCTCACGTCAAAGCGCCACAAGGTTGTACACATTCGACTAAAATGTAGTCGTGCACGGCCTATACTGTTGGACCAAGCATGCAAATGAGTGTGCACGATATGTCCTTAACTGGCTCTCATGAGTTACCCTCAAAGCTTTTCTTAAATGATGTCAGAATAGTGTGGGGGCTATATTTGCCCAAAGTTTTCTGAGCATTCATGTTAGATCACTGCGCGTATGCTGCACAGTCTATCTATTTATTCGTTTATCATTGTAGTCACGCTGTGCCCTGAATTCCAAACACGTATACATGTATTTCTTACGCGTATTAATAGTTGTATTCAGTCAGTGTTTTGAAGCTACAGAGGGTGTCCCTGAAAAAAAACCAAACCCTGAGGAAAGGGGTTAATTTGCCCAAACCATGAGATATGATTATAATGTATAGGGATATCCGAAAAGAAGAAGCAGTATTCTTTCTAATGATACCTTGATGGCATCCCTCATGTCATGCATGGCTGAACACCATTGTCTTGAAAATGGGGTATCCGAACTCAGTTGTAAAACTTTGTATAAACCAGTGAATGGGGTTGTCTTCTGTCATACTTGTCCTGGTTGAAAGTGACAACAAAAGGTCATGTTAATGAGGGAAGATTGCCTTTTGTCACTTTCAATTTATGCAATAATCTGGTTTAAATGTGTTGACCTGCCCGAGGTAGGCCAGTGCAGTGTTGAAAAGTGTTCGAAGCAGGACAGAAAGTCTGCAACATGGTACAACTTACCAAAGATCAAAGAGTGTTTGTCGTGACGAAATTTCTTGAAAACAAGAGCTTCCAAGCAACCCAAGCTGCATTTAGGGAACCCTTCCCTGATAGGGATCCACCGGCAAAGTCGATCATCTGGGAAAATGTGCGCAAATATCGAGAACATGGGACAAGCCTTAATTTGAATAAGGGTCATTCGGGAAGGAGGCGCACATTGCGAACTCCTGAAAACGTTGCCAACAGCCAAGGGGAACCAGTTGCAGGATGAATGGACTTGGACACGGAAGGTGTCGGTGCATAATTAACTGTGAATTACGTAATGTGTAAATAATCGGTGTGCCCCTGATATCTTATCCAGGACAGGCATGACAGAGGACAACCTCATTCACTGGTTTATCCAAAGTGTTACAACTGAGTTT